CCCCCCCGGCCCTCTGATGCGCCCGTACATGAGAGAAATGGGACTGCTGCTCGGAGCAACTTGATCTTACCCGCTGACGATGTGGTAGTATGTCGGGGGCGGAGACAAGCGCGATATCGACCTGCAAGAATGCTATGACGGCATGAGTAAAGAGGCAGGCTGCCCACGTGGCGGTCATATGAAATACTGGAATTGGGAGTATTCGTAAGAACATGCCACCCGGGCTAATTTTCCATTGGGAAATTACGATAAATTGCTAACTTGGGCTTGCCAGTGCTGATCCAAATGTCGGGTCGTGTGTCAACATGCCGCCGTACGACTTTGCGAGGCCGTTCGACGATCAGTAGAAAGGAATTGGTGACTCAAGAGAGGGCAAGTCGTCAATTCGTCTTCTTGGAATGGGTCGTTTGGATCTGCGTCCGGAAACTGCTTGGGACTCAATTTTCCACTGGAGAGCTTTGATTATGGAATTGCCGATGTGGACTGAGGCTCTCGGCATGTTGGTGGTGTTTGGTGTAGCTCGTTGTTCTGATAATCAGGTCGTTCGTGAATTACATGGATAGCTTTTCGGTTCAAGGATAATTGATTGATGTACATGAAATTTTATCCATAGGAATGTATATCTCGTTCACAGCATAACTACTACGTGCCTACTAACCTTCGCTTCGTTGAACAGTCGACAGATCAACGAGTACATCCTTGGTCAGGCGGGGACAGAATAGCCCTGAATCCAATGAGCTCAATGTAAATCTCTCAGATAACATGAGGTCCGGGTCCCAGTCGCTCGCAACGATGCCAACAAAATCACCACGCAACGTCGTTCTCGACCAACGACCCCGGCCCGGCCCCTGTCCGTCTCCCCCCGCCGCCCGTCCAACGGAGCACCGGAACGACGACTCCGCAGTAGCAGTTTGCTCTCCCGATCTCCACTCGATTAAGCGCGGGGAGATTGCAAACGATTGGAACAGTTAGGGTCAGGGGAAAGAACTGCAAAGGCAAACGGTTGATTGCAACGTTGCCATCACACCAAAGAAAAAGCTACGGGTTCACCGGGAAATCGAGTCCTTTGGGGCACATTTCCTGCCGTTTTGCTTCAATGTCAACGGAATTGTACGCAGTATTTGGCTAGCCTCGTAGCTTCCAAACGTGTCGGTCCCACCTGCGCTGCGATGACCTTTCTATATCCGTACTCACGTATCTCCAATGTTTGTGAGGTTTCCATCACCTGAGGGGTACAGCACCATCCACGTAGATCCGGCTACTACCTTCTACAATCGCACAGCTCTTCTCACAAAGTTGTGTCACCATGGTTCGCGACGAGGGGTTAGCTGCTGGGTTCCCCTCATCAAACTTTCCAAACGGCTCTGACTCCCCACACGCGCCGAGGCCACGTCCCGTCGCGTCATACCACGATGATCTATTGATAAGATGAAAGATGAATGGAGTACCTTGTCCGACCTTACTTATAGAAGAATCGCAATTCCTGCAATTGGCGAAATGGGTTTTGATCCAAGCCAGACATCGTGAACGAAGCCACCACCTTCTATCCACCACTCACGATGCGGTTCCTCACCACCACTCTCCTCTCCCTCGCGGCGAAAGCAGCAGCAGACTTCCTCCCAGGCCTCCCATCAACACCCTTCACCCCAACAGGCGGCACCCTCTCTTCCTCCTTGCTCTCCAAAATCATAGTCTCTTCGGCCTTTGCAGACTCCCGCGACGAAGCAGGCCAAACCCTAATCCCGCCAACACTCCACGCCTTCGCAATGACCTTTGCACAGGATCTCTCCTCGGCGCTGAAACTCGACATCCCTCTCGAGCTCGGCGACGCCCCTGAGAAAGGATCCATCTTTCTGACACTCGCTGACGACACCAGCATCTACAAAGATGCCGCCGGTCGCGAGACGTCCGAGGGGTACTCCCTCAATGTCACGGCTGACGGCGTACTCATTACGGGCGCGAGCCCGCTCGGCGCGTGGTGGGCTACCCGGACGCTTCTGCAGCAGCTTATCGTCGGGGACGGAGAACTGAAGCTGGGGTACGGAACGGACAGCCCGGGATGGGGAACTCGGGGTATGATGGTGAGATGATCCTCTTCCTCCGAGCCGGAGCTGGCCGCGACCTCCGGCTGGGACCTTGATTCCTGGAAACCACAAGCTGACCACCTACACAATTCATTAGCTCGATATCGCCAGACACTACTACCCGGCCGAATTCCTCATCGAAATGTGCGCCTACATGTCCTTTTTCAAACAGAACACGTTCCAGCTGCATCTCTCGGACAATCTCTACAACAACGTCGCCATCTATTCCCGCGAGCGCAGCCTCTCCCTCTACGCCGCCTTCCGGCTGCTCTCCGACGACCCGGCCCTTGAGGGCCTCAACCGGCGTGCGAACGAGAGCTACACCCGCGATGTCTTTGACGACGTTCAGGCGAAGTGTGCAGCGCGCGGCGTGACGATCCTCCCAGAGATCGAGGCTCCCGGGCACGCCCTCGTGATTTCGCAGTGGAAGCCCGAGCTAGGGCTGTCGAGCGACTTGAGCCTGTTGAATATTTCGAACCCGGACACGATCCCGACAGTGAAGAAGATATGGGAGATTTTTCTGCCATGGTTTCACACCAAGACGGTCTCGATCGGTGCCGACGAGTATGTCGATGCAGCGCTGAGTGAAGAGTAAGTCAAGTCTCACCCCTTGAACCTGGCGGCATGAAGGCATGAGCTCATCATTCAGCGCTCTGGTTGCCGAGTACACGCGATTTGTGGACGAGATGAACGAGTACATCACAAGCACCTCTGGAAAGAAAGTCAATATTTGGGGAACCTTTGCGCCGTCAGTCGGCGGAACTGTCAACAAATCTGTTTCGATCCAGCACTGGGCCAACTTTGAGGCAAACCCGCTCTACGACTTTATCAACAACGGATACGACGTGCTCAACTCGGGTGACTACGTCTATACAGTTGGAAAGTGGAGCCAATCGTACGGTGTAAGTGAAAAGACCAAGTTGACCGTGTCAAAGCAACGACAAGACTGACCTGATGAAAAGCAAGAGCTCAGCCTGGAGTTCATCTTCAACGGTTCGCCCGATGGATCGCCCTTTTCGCCTAACATCTTTGACCGTAAGAATGCTTCAAACAATGCCGCCAGGGATAATGCGTTGCTGCTGGGCCATATCGCGCCGCAGTGGAACGACTATGGTCCAAATGCAACGACGGTGACGGAGGGATACTACCAGTGGAGGGATGGCCTGCCTGCTCTCGCTGACAAGCAGTGGGGAGGTGAGGTTGCCGAGGCCGATTACCAAGGCCTTTTCTCTGCGTTGCAGCCTCTTGCGCCGGGGCAGAACCTTGATCAAAGAATCGCATCCATAGGACCGACGATCGTTGAATACGACTTCAAGCAGGAACGAGGTAGAAACGGCACAGCGGTCAAAGATTTGTCGGGCAACAACTACCATGCAACCTCGACGTGCGCAACGGGTAACGAGGGTGCCATTCTGGCACCTTCGTGTAACATCACGACTCCGCTGACGCAAAAGGGGAGGAATTACACACTCTCTTTCGCAATCAAGCCCACGTCGGACGCCAAGGGGGCCATCTTCAGCGGTGGAGACGGCGGGTTGTGGTTTGGCAATGGGACTGTGGACGCCGTCATGCTCTTTTCAGGGGGAAATACGTACGCGCTCAACTACACGTTCCCCGTGGGGTCGTGGACGAACGCGAGCCTCATCGGCAGAGGGAAGCAGACGTTCCTGGACGTCGGGGATGGCGAGCCCAAGGAGTTCCTGACAATCATCGGCTGGAACGGGGCCCAGTTTGTGTGGCAGCCAATTGCGGTGGAGGCGCCGTTGGCAAGAGTCGGAGGGAGTGGGTTTGAAGGCGTCATCAGCGGGATGAAGCTTGTTGACCATGCCTAGATCAGCGTTATTGTCGGAGAGGCTTATGATGGTATTTGCTACGCCTCACCAGCTTCGGGCTGGTAACCTGCTTTGGATGCTGTGGCCCTCGGAGATGGAAATTCGATGTCATGCAGAATTGGGTTGACTGAGTCGTACATTGTGGCGTGAAAGTTGTACATGCTCTGTATCCACAGTCTGTACTTGTCTGCTCGTAGGGCTCAGGGCGTGCTAGTCGAGGTGGATATGAAACTGCTGTTATCCGTCCCACGTGCCCAAAAACAATTAGCTAGTATTAGTAGCGTCCAATGTGTTGGTCCGTATGGAGTGTAAGCGGCCTCAAGGCAGCCTTTTCTGAAGGCATTTGGCAGATTGTGCTAGAAGGTTCTTTTGTAACGGCTTTTGATTGTTGTGTTGTGGTGTGCAGATCTCTGTCGTTGTTGACCCCCAGCCAAAACCTCAGAGCGATGCGGTCGATGTCCCATTCGAGGCTCGATGCAGTGGCATGGCCGACCCGGGTGACCGATCGGGGTCCTTCGGGGTCTTGCGTCGTGCGTGACTGCCAGGGGCCAGAGGCACAGAGGGTATGATTGAGTGTTTCTTGGCGTTGAAAGCCCCGGCAACGGCAACGGGATGCTCGCCGCAGGGATGGCCGACGGGCCAGGGGCTGAATCAGGGTCTAGGACGGGGTCCATGGTCGCTGGTCGATGGCAAGCTGCCCAAGCGTTCAACAGAGCTGTACGGACTAGAAGCAGGGCTTTCGGTTTCAATTCCTTTCAACAGCGAGGGCTTTTCAAAATCTCCAAGGGTCGGACAATGCCAAAAAAAAAAAAAAAAAAAACCCCTTTCGACTCTGGCACACTTGGCTCGTTGGCGATGCTGCCATTGCTTTTTGCGGGAAGGGCTGAAGCGGGCGACGGCTTGGTGACGAGGACTCGGGATGACGATGGTTTCGGCTGATGTAGGATGGGATTTCATCGTCTCATTATTTGCTGAATTGTGGAATGTGCATGATTGGGGCGACGGAAAGGGAACGGATGAGAGTGGAGGACGTCTGGATTCTGGACAAGCTTGTCGACTCCAGACCAGGTCCCAGGTCTCAGGCCTCGAGTTGATGGCCGACGGTTGCTGCTGCTGCGGGAGAAAAAAAGGAGACAGAGCCAAGGTCGGTCTCGACTCTTGACTTGTTGACAGACACGGCAGAAGACGACTGATGGGCCGTAAGAGATGATCGTTCAACAAGTGAGGCGATGATTTGTCGGTGATCAAATGAAGGGCGCGTTGGAGCTGCGACTGGAACTTGGAAGATGCATGAGGTAAGGTAGGTAGGTACCGTGGTACTGTGTAGGAGGTCCGGAGACAGGACTCACAGGAGTGCGTTCCGAGAGTGCCTTGCTGAGGTGCCCTCAAGATGTCTACAAATCAAGGTACGTATCCAGCTGCGTGTGCGCAAGGAAAGTGCACAGTACGGGATCACAGCATATTTGCGGGGCTAAGCGGGGCTGCTTCCGGTTGGAAACTTGGAACAGAAGAGCAGGAAGTTGAGAAGGAGCAGGGCCATTGACTCGGAGCCCCGCTCTTTCCCATGTTTGGGTTCGAGTCCCTTGCAAACCATCAAGCCACCCCACTCTTCCGTCTCATTCCTTTCCCCGGGTGCCCGAGTGCGTGACTACGTAGCTACGTACCGAGTCACGGGCTTCAGTGGGGGGCATTTACGCATCTCACACTGTGCCTGGCCCGTCGATGATCCATCTGTCACACGCTTATTGCGGATACTAAGGAAGGAAGGTATGGTAATCACACCGTTCCTTCACAGTGTTCAACATCTGCCCACTCCTCCTCCTCATCCACCATCTTTTTGCTTCGCAGATCTTGTCGCATGCCGTGCAGCAAAAAGCATCAATTGTTGGTCCCTCACCGCTCACCTGCTTGGTGGCTATCCCGAAATCTCCCACGCCTATGGTTCATCGGTCTACCGGTACCCTCTCCGATTTTGTGTCGGTGATCGAGCTGCCCATTCCATAACCTCCATGCCCCTCCTCCCCCCCTCATCGGTCTTGGCTGGGATTGGCTTGCGTCTCGACTCTCACTCAGAATGGTCTTTACATGTGGGAGCCAGGGCCAACACACAGAATCAAGGATCCCGGAGCTAGTCCCGTCATCGACTTTCCTTGCTGTGGTTGGTCTCCATCCGCCTCGCTTTGCTGCTCACGAGCAAGTGGGCGACGCGCCAGACTCTGAGATTCACGAGACAGCGACAACGACGTCGGCGACGACCACCATCACCACCTCCTCCAGGGAGAAGGAAGAGAAGGAAGCCGACCAAGATGACAGCGTTGCAGCAGTGGCCGAGGGGAGCGTCCAGGCAACGACAGCCAAGGCAAGCTCCATCCATCTGCTGACCAGTGACATACAGTCAGACATTTCATCGCCAGTCTTGCATGGCACACGACACTGAAAGTCCCGACTGCGACCAGCCACTTTTGCACCTACGGCAAACCAGACGATTACACTTTGCCCATCTATCATTGTTACAAGCGCCCTCAGATCTCTCTGTTCGACTCTGTCTCTCCCTATTGTCCTTTAACAAAGAACAAAGGATCAAGGGCCGGTCTGGCCGCCGCCACATCCCCCAAACTATCTGCGTCGTCCCATCATCTCGCCTCGTTGGCCTTCGATCTCTCTTCAGGCGTCAACTTGCAAAACACTTCTCTCGACCTGACTGCCACCCTCTACACAGTAGACTCCCACGGATGAGGGACACATAAACACTGTCCGGCACACGCACGGAAACACGCCATCGCCATTGGTTTCCCATCCACGTGCTATTGCGCGCTAAGGCCGTCTAGACCCCTAAAACCTGCACCCGAACAGCAGTCTAGATTGCCACGCGCACACCAGTTGGGCATGCATCTGAACTTGCCCTCTAGCTGAGGCTGCGGAATCCGGCTCAAATGTCGCCAAATTATTGCCCCTCTGCTGCAGACAGACAAACCACCATAGTACACACTTTCTTCGCCGACCGCTAAAGTCTAGCGCATCTCAGAATCTCCGAGGGTCCCCCATCAAAACGCAAAACGGAGCCAAACGAGGACGCCCCCCCATGCCCATGCCCCATTCCACATTCCACCGCCAACTGCCCACCAACAACTCACACACACCCACGCCCTCCAGTCTCCAGGTACCCAGTGGCTTCCCGTGGGAGGAGTCTGGGAGAACACCTCCAGAGGATGCAGAAGCCTGGAACCCCGGTTCCCATGGGTTGCAATGGCCAATCTCCAAACCGCCCAAAGAACCGGTTTCCCATCCAGGGCAAGGATGTGCGCCGCCTTGGCCTGGGCCCTGCTTGCGCTACCGTCACCGTCGAGTTTCTCGCTACGTACTGCGCCGTGGCCCCCCCAACCCTCTCGAACAATGCTCATCCCGGCTTCCGGAATCCCTGCTCCACCTCAGCGGGGAGGGGCGGCATTTCAGTCATGCCCGCCGCCTCACCTTTCAGAGCAAGCATGCTTCTTCTCCTTGATTTGGGGACTCGGATCTGGACTTGATCTGACCTTGCCTTGCCTTGCCTTGACCTGTTGACGACGACGACGGCAACGTTGTTGACAACGACAAACAACATCTCCCATCGTTTATCGTTACCGTACTGCATCAAAACTCCTTGTATCATGGGCAGGGCTACCTTCATCATCCCACTACCCAACAACCTGCATGCAGTATGAACAAGATGTCAGAAGGTGCCCGTGAATGGGAGACATTCAAGTGCGTATTCCTGCATCCTTCCGAGCTTTGGCTGAAGCTTTGGGGTAAGACGCCTCCCGCTGTTCGATCACTGACAAACTCGATTGTCCTAGATATGATTCTTTCCACATTCCCAATGCCGTGTTCAACAGCCCCGACCGACCGATCCCCTTTTCTTCCATCTCGTCGTCTCCGGACACTGGCCTCACTTCCTTTGCGCAGCTCGGTGCCTTGAGACTGAACGCATCCCGCGCTCTTATCTCGTTATTCGATCGCCAGCATCAATACATCGTCGCCGAGGCTACTCGGTCCATGCCCCTGTCACCAAACACCAAGTACACAAAGCAAAACCATCTTTGGCTATGCGGGACGGCCATCCCTCGCGACTTTGGGATCTGCGAACATGTTTTGGTCGGAGCGACTCACGCAAGACCCGACAGTCTCTACCCGACAGCTCATGTAATCGATGAGAACGAACTTCCCGTGTCCGTAGTTCCGGATCTTGCGGCTGACCGGCGATTTTGTAACCGCCCTTACATCGATGCAGCGCCATACAATCGATTTTATGCAGGTGTCCCTATCCGGTCTCCCAAAGGCATCAACATTGGTGTATACTGCATTTTTTCCGACACCCCGAGATCTGGTCTCGTCGCCGAGGAGATGCAGTTTTTGCGGGAAATTTCCCAGACCGTAATGGAATACCTCGACGCCAGGAGAGTAAATGAGAGCTATCGCCGAAGCGAGCGCATGGTACAAGGATTGGGAAATTTCATCGAAGGTAGAGACGATCCAGTGCCGACTGCGAGAACCACGCCTCGAGCGTCTTTGAACGGATTCGAGCCTCCCAGACTTGCAGTATCACTACCCGAGGCGGACCCGCCGTCACGTAGATCTTCCGAATCCCCTGAACCCGTTCGCCCGGGCATCAACCCGATCAGGTCAGACTCGAATGAGTCTTCTTCCAAAGTCGAATCGAGCGACTCAGTCGAAACAAGTGCCTCGACTGCGACAGTAGCTACTACCACCTCAAGTACGGCGCCGCCCGACCCGCACTTGACAGAAACCATCAAGATCTTCTCGCGGGCCGCCAATGTGATCAGAAAGTCTCTCGAAGTAGATGGCGCCTTGTTCCTGGATGCGAGTATCGGCTCCTTTGGTGGCCTAGTTACCGGTCCACGAAAAGCCAGTGAAGTGGCAGACCGCACATTCTCCAGCAGCGAAGACAGTCTTTCCGAGAGGTCCGAAGACGTCAACGATAAATGGTGTAAGAGCTTTGGAAGGTCGTCGACCATGGACGACATTGCCAACGGCATAAGTGCTCCACAGTTGGACCGTTTGACTTTGCGAGAAAAATTCCTTAGGAAATTGCTTCGTCGATACCCCAACGGCAAGGTGTTCAGCTTCGACGAGACGGGTCAATGGTTGTCCGCTGACTACGAAAGCGACGATGCCGACATCACCCCTACAGAAGAGCACGATCAAACCGCCGCCCGCCCCGAACAAAAGGCGGCTCATTCGTACTTTACGAGGCGAAATGAGGCCAAGACCATCATCGACATCTTCCCGGGTGCTCGGAGTGTAGCTGTGGTACCGTTGTGGGACCCTTCAAAAGAAAGATGCTTTGCCGGAGGTTTCGTTTGGAGTAAAAGTGCGACTCGGATATTGACACCTGCAGCGGACCTGCCTTTTTTGCGAGCGTTCGGGATGGTCACCATGTCTGAGGTTATCAGACTAGATGCTGTCTTGGCAGAAAAGGCAAAGACTGACATCTTGGGCTCCCTCAGTCACGAGCTTCGGTCCCCGCTTCATGGTGTAGTTGCTGCTGCTGAGCTTCTTCATGATACCCAGTTGGATGCTTTCCAGGTCGATGTCATTCACACTATCGAGATTTCGGGCAAGACTCTTCTCGACACTATCGATCACGTAGGTTTCCCACGACATTGTCGGAACCCGAGTTGAAATGCTTACTCGAAACAGTTGCTTGACTACACCAAGGTCAATACTTTTTTGCGGGCATCCAAGTCCCAGCGGAAAAACAACGGTCCTGGGCGCGGGTTGCGACAAGAAGCATCAACATCAATCGAAGCTGGTATGATGAGCTTGGTTTCCGACGTCCACCTTGACTTGCTTGTCGAAGAGGTCATTGAGAGCGTCTTCATCGGTTACAGCTTCCATCACATGGTCGCCAACTCGTTGGCACGCCACGGCTCGTCTTCAGGTCCTCCAACACCGGCTCAAGAAAAGCTGGATGCCATTGCCACGTCCGATGGGTTGGGCCACAGGCGGAAACTATCAGATGTGCCGGTTACCAATCTTAAAGATGTTAAGATCCTTGTCGACATCGATCCGCAATGCGCGTGGGTAGTGCATACGAACCCGGGAGCTATTCGTCGGATTGTCATGAACTTGTTTGGAAATGCCCTCAAGTACACGTCTCAGGGATTCATCAAGGTTCATCTCAGGCAAGAGGAGGTCGTGCACAAGACGTCTAGGTCTGCATCGATGGTTGTGCTCACCGTCACCGACTCGGGTAAAGGCATCACCGAAGAGTTTCTACACAACAAGCTCTTTACCCCGTTCTCTCAGGAAGACGCACTCGCACCAGGTACTGGTCTGGGTCTCAGCCTTGTCAGACAGATTGTGGCGGGACTCGGTGGTACGATCAGTGTGAAGAGCCAGGTCAACCACGGCACGAGCATAACCGTATCGATGCCGCTGGTGCTGTCACGGAAGGCGAGTAGCCGGGGGCGCAAATTCTCTGCCGACTTGGACGCCCTGGCCGGAACACGACTCTCGGTATGTGGATTCAGCAGGGGGCTCGAAGATTCAGAAGAGCTTCGCGCCGGTGGCCTGGATCTTCCCGTAGAGAGCCTGCCATTCAAGTGGATGGATCTCAAGCTCAACGAAGACAGCCGAAAGGCGTCCAGGACGGATTTGATGGTTTGTAGCGAGGATGCATTCAGGCGTCTTGGTTTGTCGGAGACCGGGGGTGTCGAAACCCCGCTCGTTGTAGTCTGCGGCAACGCCGAAGCCGCGCAGAAACTAGCGACTTCATACAGACGCTCCCTACGCCATGAGGCCGTCATGGAGTTTATAGCCCAGCCGTGAGTCATCTGCCTGTATTGGAAGATTGCAGAGCTGACTACGAACTAGTACTGGTCCCAGAAAGGTTGCAAAAGCCCTAGCATATGCGCTTGATCGCTGGAAGCGGCGGCAGCCTACGAAGTTGATACCCGTCAGTCCTCTGTCGGATGCTTTCCCGGGACCTGCTCCGTCGCCCCGCGCCCTGAAGTCGGATGCTCTTCTGACAAGGCCGCGAGCGCAATCCGAGTCTTTGAAAATGGTACGAGTGGCCTCGCCTGCTCCCGACATCGTGTCTCAATCACCAGGAGACAGCTGGATCGCCAATACGAACGATTCCAATTTTACCCTGACACTCCCCTTTCGCCCGGTCGCATCGGCAGCGGCTCCAACCACTTCGACAGCTTCAGCTAGGGGCAGTATGAACTCGAGCATCAGCCCTTCCCCTGGACCTGTTAAGTCCCCGCTGGAGTTCCTCTTGGTGGACGACAATCCGATCAATCTGAAGGTACGTTTAACCTCTGGCGAGTTATGCTTGGAACAGACGCTAACCGAACTAGATTCTATCGGCGTACATGAAGAGACTTCAAAAGCGGCATGCCACTGCTTCCAACGGCCTGGAGGCCTTGCAGACTTATACGTCTCATCCGCAGAGATTTTGCTGCATTCTCATAGGTACAATCCAGTGTGAGAAACGATGGACAATGTTCAAGACTGACGATGTACAGATATAACAATGCCTGTCATGGACGGGCTCGAAGCTACAAGGCGCATCAGAAAATTCGAGCGAGCACACAACCTCCCTTCCGTGACGGTTATTGCCATTACGAGTCTGGGATCGGCTGGTGCTCGACAAGAGGGTTTCGCGAGCGGTATGGATCTATTCTTGACACGACCAGTGACCATGACAGAACTGGTCAAAATTTTGAAACAGAGGAAACTAGTGGATGAGGCGGCGGAAAAGGAGGTTCAATCCTGAAAAGGCCTCGGGCGTTGTTGTAGAAGGGGTATGACCTGCGTGATTGCGGCGGTCTTTGAGCTGTTGCATGGGCATCTTTCCTGTTGGTTTGTTGATTTTCGCAAGGCGTTTGGGGGAGGGGGGGATACTATGGATTGGTCCGGCATAGGACCTATATGCGCTCAAAAAAAAGGGGTTATTTCTTTGACGGCCACTGACATGAATGAGTTTGACGAAGGACATGGCGCCGTTGGGAGGAATTACAGTTGACGAGCGTTGCTAGGGTTGTAAAGTAGCGCCTGGTACGTAGTCGATACAAAAAGCTGGCTCGATGTTGTCGGCATCAGCTTTCTAGACGCGTGGTATTCCGGGTTCCTGCTGTTGTGTACACGAAGTTCCAGGTTTCTCGGGCGGCTCCGAGGCGGACGCTTTCGGAGGAGGCGCCTGGTGCTGTAGCTGGGATAGACGAAGATGAGGCCTCGTTGCGATCACTAGACTGGGAGCAGTATTTCTGTTCATGAAAATGCAAATGCGGCCAGGTAGAAAAGACGATGGTAAGATGGCGCCTCATTAGCTTCAGAAGCGAAGGATCGGAGATGTCAAGATCTAGAAGGATTCCTTGAGCGGTCTGCTGGATGGCTTTGACCCTCGGGGCTTCAGCCTAGGGTCATGTCAGTCATCGGGAGTGGCCGATGGCTTTTTGGCAGATGGCTGAGGGGATAGTGATAGGACCGGGTGGCGGGCTGAGCGTTGGTGTTTGTGGACGTGCGGGACCTCGGCTTTTGCCCGGCATGTTGTGGCCTTTTTGGTTTGGAAGCGATTCACTTCATTGGATTCGGGATTGGGGAAGTTTCGAAAGGAGGCCTTGTGTTTGTTTGCCGTGACGGGGGAGTGTGGTGTCCTTGATACAAGACAAGCGATGACGGATTGAAGTCAGTTCCCGAGGGGATCCAGAAAGGTCGTTTAACGTTGCAGAGGAGAGACTTGGGAACGGGAGACAGACTACACTGTAGAGCTGCTGTAGTTACGGAGTATCTGGCCATGAGAGAGAGAGGGAAGCAGGATACCTATTGTCGAGACTTGATGGTTTGAAATCCGACGCAAGAATCGGGCCGACGACTTCCATTCATCAGCGAGAGTCCCTCCCTCAGCTCCGAATTGCCATATTCTTCGTGCTCCATCATTGGCAAGGGGGCAGAGGGAGCCACTGATAAGGCGCTGGCTGGCTCGCCCGGGACAGGAGCTGACCCCTACGCGTCCACGTTGGGTCTCTGTTATTTTTGGTGGGTGTGGTCAGGGGCGCATAATCAACGGGCTGTCCGATGCGTAGAGATAGCTACCCGGGCTCTCTCGTGTGCAGAGTGGTTTGTCGTTGGACAATGGACGTACGGAGGCTGACCGAACAGGCTCACAGTTTGTTGTATTTCTGCTTGTCTTACGCTCTCGAAAAGTCAATTACCCTCACGCTGGCACGGCTACTTCTAATAAGCATGGTAGGTAGGTGAGGTAGGCTCTCACTCACGCTCTCTTCCGAAAACCCAGAGTTCCGCTTCCGAAAACGGCCGTCTCTTATCAGAGAGACGAAGTGGATTCGGATCCATTTCTCCACTGCGATTGTATGTGTCAGTGGGGAGGGGGGAGAGAGGGGCGGGCGAAGCCCAATCTTGCGGGGTTGGATTTCCACGTTGAGGAGCATTGCTGGTGTGGATGTCGGGAACATCGTGAGGGAAAAGTGTGGTAACAAGGTAAAGTTGTATGGAAAGAGAGCAGCTTGTATTTAGGACTCTGCTACGGATAGACAGGCAGGCAGGCAGGTAGGACGACAGTGGAAGACTGGGGCCACGGCAATCTGAACCGTGTGCCCGGGTAGCCCAATTGACATTGTCCAGAAAGGGGACCGTTCCCAAATAACGACGGGTAAGGGCCCTTTTCCGGGGGGTTGAGTGTTTTGACTCGACGGATGGTTCGACAGCTTACTATAGTAGCTGATAAGATTTGGGGTGAATCGAGAGACGAAGGAAACGCGGTAAGGGTCGTGATAGGACGAGATAGCGGGTGGCACGACACCCTCTTCTTCTTCTTCTTCTTGCTGCTGATGTTCTCTCCCGCAGAAGCGTACTTGCGCACACTTGAGCACGTCTATCTCCAGCGCGCTCCCTCACCCCGTTACCACGCATCACCCTCGCGGGGCTTTGCCAAGCCCGTTTTCCCCAAAGTGATCGTCTGTTGCAGTGCGTGTTCCATTGCAGCAGAAGCCAAAAGAAGGGGTGAGGGGTGGTGAGCAATGACATCACGGGCTGAAGAAACAAGCCCTTTTTTTTTTTTTTTTTTTTTTTTTTGCGAGGGACCTCGGAGCTGTAGGCTGTGTTCTCCGTGTACTCGATCAATTCCTGGGAAAATTGGACTCTTTGCCTGAAGTGCTTGGAGCGTGTAAGACGACTTCTCAGAATGCCAACACCGCGGTCCCGATAGGAGAAGTGTTTAACCCCCCATTGCCTGCCTGTCCGAGTAACCCGCGATCTAGTCGTTCTTGTCCTCAACGAGCAAATGCAGGCAGTTATCTTCATCCCCAATATGAAGTCATCGAGAAACTCGCTAGGTGTTAGATAGGCATGAAGAAGTCACTGATACAGAGAGTCTACGGAGTACTCACCGCGGTTAAACATGATTCAGCATCCCGGCGATCAGGCAAGGCCAGACTGCCAGAAATGGGTGTGTCCTAGCTGGCTGGGTTGCGTCTGATACGCACGAACCAAGCGGCCCCCCGAGGTGGTGGTGGTGGCTTGACAAGGACACGGCTAGGTAACACGCTTACAGAGCACCATACCTCAGAACTCGCCTGTCATCGTAATCAATCATCAAAGGCCGCCCCGAGTCCAGAGATAATCGCGGTCCCGGGGGTGGGTGGTCCCCTCCAGGCTGGTTGCCGGCTAGTTACCCAAAACCGCCCCCGTCTGTCACGGCGCCACATCTTCTTTTTCCGCTATGGATGGGTGGATACGTAGATAAAGGCCATCGTGAGAGTGAAGCATCAATTGATGCAGCAGGCAGAGGAGAGAGACTGAGCTACAGATGTCGTCGGGTGTTCTAAGCGTTGAACAACCATTGACCAGCCAGAATCGCGTATTGGAACTCTACAAACAGCCCAGACAACTCGGGGCTGAACCCAAGAGGCTTGGGCAAAGCTGAGAGATCCACTGATCGTGACCTGGTGCATCTCGGCCAGTTTCCACTTTCTCTCCTCACTTCCGTCAGGTCCCTGCGGTGCGTGGGGGAGAAAAAGAGGAGGCGAACAATTGGTCTCTCTTTCACAGTCTCTCTACGAATCTCATGCTGCCAAGGGCCAAAGAGAAGAGGAGAAGAGATTAGCGCATCGTCAACGAAAGCTCCATGTCTAGGCCGGGGTCCCCCCTCCCCGTCCCTCCTACCACCCCGGCCATAGTCAGGCCCTCCCTTCTGTTTCTTGTCGCATTGGACGTAGCCGCGCCTCTGTGTCATTTGAATGTGTGTGACTCGCCCCGTCGATGGGCTGGCTGGGCTGCTTCAAGCCTGACTGCCGAGTAGACTAGTCCAGTCTGACCCTGGACCAGACCACTTCTTTGCGTGTTCGACGTGGTTTAGTTTTCTTGTTACTCCATAAGACGCTGATTGAGTCTGGGCTACTAAAGAATGGCTTAGTCCCCTTTTTTTTTCACGCATCGGTCCCATGTAACGCACGCGATCTTTTCAATTCTCATTGCAAAGTCGCGATTCTTCCTTTTTTTCGTGTTCATGACAACAATTCGAGTTACGTTCATTTAATACTCACCGTCCGCATTGCCGTATCCTCTTCCCCCCGCAAACCCGCGCGTCCAACCCGTCTCCGTCTCCGTCTCCGGCGAGAACCGTTACCGAACGACGCTGTCCGAATCCGGGGTTCCTTTTACAACAACGACCAATAAAGCCTTTGGCTTCACCCGCATACTCCAATTGACTTTCTACCAGTTCGATTGAGTCATCTGCCACCCGTGGACATACACGCCACACGATAGCATCAACCAACAACATTCACAAGCCTCTTCCCTCGATCTCGGTCGATTAAAACCGCAAACATGGACGAAGCCCCTCCCCGCGTGTCGGCCGACCAGGCCCTCGCCCGGCTGGGCTACAAGGCCGAGCTCCCGCGCAACCTGTCCATGATGTCCATCCTCGGCCTCTCCTTCGCCATCATGGCCGTCCCCTTTGGTCTGAGCACGACGATGTACATCACCCTGACCAACGGCCAGTCCGTCACCGTCCTCTGGGGCTGGGTCCTCGTCTCCATCATCTCCCTCTGCATCGCCGCCTCCCTCGCCGAGATTTGCGCCGTCTACCCGACCGCCGGTGGCGTCTACTACTGGTCCGCCATGCTCGCCCCCGCCGGCTGGGCGCCGCTCGTCAGCTTCGTAGACGGGTGGCTTACGCTCGTGGGCAACTGGACCGTCACCCTGAGTATCAACTTTAGCGGCGCCCAGTTGATTCTCAGCGCGATTAGCGTCTTCAATGAGGACTTTGTCGCCAACGAGTGGCAGACTGTGCTGTGTTTCTGGGCTGTCATGTTGGTTTGCGCCGCAGCGAATGCGTTTGGATCGCGGTATCTTGATCTGATCAACAAGGTGAGTTTGTTGTGGCTTTTGACTACCTTACCTCAGTCACGAAGGGCCTGGAGTACACAGTGCTGACGACGAACTGAATAGATTTGCATTTACTGGACTGCCGCTTCCGTTATCATCATCATGGTCACTATTCTGGTCATGGCTCCGAGCAAGAGATCGGCCGAGTTTGTCTTTGCTCACTACGACGCTTCTGCAAGTGGATGGGCGCCCGGTTGGTCATTCTTCGTCGGTCTGCTGCAAGGTACGTTGAGGCGAACAACCTCGCACGAAGAAAACAAGCCAATTGACATGTTTCCCAGCTGCCTACACCCTCACCGGCTACGGTATGGTCGCCTCCATGTGCGAGGAGGTCCAGAACCCCGAACGCGAAGTCCCCCGCGCCATCGTCCTCTCCGTCGCTGCCGCCGGCGTGACCGGCGTAATCTACCTCATTCCCATCCTCTTTGTCCTCCCCGACGTCGCCACGCTCCTCGGGGTCGCAAACTCCCAGCCTATCGGCCTCCTCTTCAAGACCGTCACCGGCTCCGCCGCCGGCGGCTTCGGTCTCCTCTTCCTCATCCTCGGCATCCTCATGTTCGCCGGCATCGGCGCCCTGACCGCCGCCTCGCGCTGCACCTACGCCTTTGCCCGTGACGGCGCCATCCCCGGCTACAAGCTCTGGAGCCGCGTCAACCAAAAGCTCGACATGCCCCTCTGGGCCCTCGGCCTGTCCACCGCCGTCGACTGCGTCCTGGGCTGCATCTACTTTGGCTCCAGCGCCGCCTTCAACTCCTTCACCGGCGTCGCCACCATCTGCCTGTCGACCAGCTACGGCGTGCCCGTGCTCGTGAACCTCATCCAAGGCCGCCGCGCCGTCGCCGCGTCGCCCTACCCGCTCGGCCGGTTCGGCACCGCCATCAACTGCATCTGCATCGTCTGGATCTGCTTCGCCGTCATCATCTTCTGCATGCCCGTCAGCTTGCCCGTCGACGCTTCGACTATGAATTACGCGTCCGTCGTGTTTGCTGGGTTCGCCTTCATTGCCATCACGTGGTACTTTGCGTACGCGAGGAAGAACTTCCACGGGCCGCCGGTGGCCAAGGAGGAGTTCCAGCCCGGGCCGGATGGTACGCTGGAGGGGAAGATTCCGGGGGCTGTTGATTCGGAGACGACGGCGAGTATTGAAAAGAAATGATTTTTGGGCCTTTTTTTGTGTTTTTTAATTGTTGTGTAGAAGCTGATTAGTATGCGGGATCAGTCGCGTGTACAAGTTGATTTTGCCTTTTGTTATGATACCAATTCGGAACGGCTCATCTTGCGGGTCCATTCTGACAATTATCTATTGAACTTGACGCTTCTCATCCTATCCTTGTGACGCAACTGGTTACCATTGAGCTCTTTCCAGTCTGGGCTCTTGAGCTACTCTCCAACGTACGTGCTGTCAACATTAAAAGGCATGATATCTGAGGAAAATCCTAGAATCAGTAGCTGAGCTGATTGGTTTACCCATGCCAGACAAGAATTCTGCACCGAGATTGTCGACCCGTCTTGGTGCGTTGAATCTAGCGGAGTGAGAAGGGGTTGAAGATGAAAGAGCCGCTGACTGCTCCAAGTAATCCATGTTCCCGAAGAATCAAATGTATAGCCATGCCACTGTGCTGGTTTGATTGTCGGTGTAGCCTTAAAGGCGCCTGATCCGGGCAGGCGTGGCACCCTAAATTTCCCCCTATTTGTCAACAGAAACCTCTCATCAGGAGTAAAGGAGACCTCCACCGTTTGGGCACCAACGCCAACTGAATAGAGGCAGTCGCCAGTAGAGGGACAATGAACATGAACTTCCGAGCGGCCAGCAAGACGTGCGAGTTTGGTCGAGTCAGAAGAAAACGATATAAAATTAGTTGGCCAAATGTCTTGGCGGATGTGGATTTCTTTGCCTCGTACAAATTTTCCACGCTGTACTGACCACTGCGAAATCGTGACCCACGAGTCGGTTGCCGAGGCGATGTATGTCGAGTTGGGCGACGCTACGATGAGTCGCGGCCCAAAGTTGGAGGTCATAGTTTCATCAGCAATGTCACCCTCGGGAGTCGAGACTCTAAGCACACCGTATCTTCCGGCAACAGCAGAAGCGATGTATCCAGATTCTAGCAGAGCATGCGGAAAACAACAGTCCCGAAAGCTCTGGCCACGATAAATGCCATTTGTCTGAAAGAACCAGATTGAGCAATCGAACTGAGAGCTGAGTACCAAATGGGTTTTGTCGTGAGAAACTGTGAAGCACCATCGAATCCCGAGATTCGTGTTGATGCATCCTTGAGGACTCCAGACTCCAGTCTCGTTGCGCTTCCAGGTTCTCAACATCGTCTCCCCTTGCCGCTGAATCATCAACTTCCCATCGAGTGACAGTCGAGCTCGTGATGTCTCAGAGCCATGCATCGTATGTGATAGAATCTGCACCGGGCTGTCGGGCTTTGTGGTCGACCACAAGTGCAGTCCCTCCCTGCGCCTATCGGTATTCGAATGGCAAGAGAGTACAAGTCCTGAATCTAGGGGTAGAATACGGCATGCCACGGCGTCTCTTGTCGGTGCTATTGCTGATTCTGAGGGAACTTGTACATTCGCAGTCGTCTGCTCAAGTAGCTGCACAGACCAAAGAGCCGCACAACTTCTATCCCCTGCAGCGATAAATTTGCCATCTGGCGAGAATGCCAAAGTAAGCTCATGCACACTCAGCTCGTAATCTCTCGGCCTATACACCGCTTCTCGAAGACATTTGCCAGTCTCAAGACACCGTATCTCAATACGATTAGGCCTCCGACATAGTACCATAAGTCCTGATGCAGGTGAGAAAGCGACATTTGTGTAGGGAAGGGATTCTGGGACCCGGACGGTGTGGCTATCAACGCTGTGACTGTCACGCTCACGCCAAAATCTGACAGTTCCACTACTGCATATTTGAGAGAGTAGTAGTCCCGACGGCAAGAAGATAATTGAAGAAATCATTCCAGAGTCTTCCAGTGTTTCAATACACTCGCGGTTACCAACTGACCAGATTTTGATAAGACGTCCAGCAGAGCCTGCAATTAGCTTTGAGTTCTGAGAGATTACAATCGATGGCCGAAGTGTGACGTTGCCTTGGATAGTTCCTAGTAGTTTACTAGCGTTTGGTTCCAAAGACATGAGCCAAAACTCGGCAGCTGGACCCCAGCATGCAAGGCCTATAGTATTTGAGCATCGTAATACGTCGAATGAGAAGATTTCCCGGCGCATCAAGGGATGTCTCAGAATCAACTCGCCTGTATCTGCGATGTGCACCTTCAAGGAATGGCTCGAAACAGAACCAACCCGGCGTGAGTCGCTGAAGAAAGCTAGAGAGGCAACAGCATGACTGTGAGATCGTATGATCTGCAATAAGGTCCCGGTGAGAACCGTGTGGATTGTGATTGTTCCGTCGGATGACCCCAAAGCTAAGAGCTTTGAGTCGGGAGAGAAAGATAGTGAGTGAATGACGTTCTCCTCCCGGACACTGAATTTATGGATCTGTGAAGTCCAATTTGAATCAATGACTGGCTGTGTCGTCACGAACTTCGGAATTCGATTCTGGAAAGTTTTGCGGACCATGTTACTGGTCGGAGTGAACAAGAGCGCGGAGAAGTAGAGCTGCCGGGGTGTGTTTTGGAAAGACAGGATTTGGCTGGCAAGAAAGCTCTTTAAGTCTTGTAACAAGTCTGAGAGTAAGGTAGAATTGGGAGCCTAAGAAGCATTAACTGATGTGCCTGTCTGTCTGTCTGCATGACATGGTCCCGAGTCTCAGTGTAGCTTACCTTGGGGAGGTTTGATAATGCCTCGGCCAACTCTGTTGAAATTGCCGCTTCTCCCAGAATCGTCAGTGCCTCGATCCAGTGAAGAAGGTGAGTTTTGAGGAATTCGTGGACATGATCGCTGGCTCGCAGTTCATACTGAGCTTCAGTGAGGTGTCCAACCCAATGAATACATGCATATCGAACATGCGACGGGAAGCGATTATCAATAAGGTGTGCTGGAATGTCTTTTCGTTCTGTTCCCGGAGATATACCACAACAATTCTCCCGCAAGGGCTCTCTGGTGTGAAGAAGCTCTAAGCTGGCGAGCCCGAGTCTTCTGTGACAGCCCCTCCAGTCGACTCGGAAGACTCCTGCTCCTGGACAGAGCAGAAAGTCCCGGAACGACGTGTGGAATAATTTTAAAGGTTGATCCTTGTTTCCACGTGTGTCAATTATTGATCGCAAAGGCGTAATGAAGGAAGCAATGTCCTTGGGCTCGACGGCAAGCATTGTTCCGATGGCCTTGATTGTCAACGGCTCCTCTAGCAAAAAGATTGTGCCGACAATCTCGTTGAACCTTTCAAGCAGACTGGCCTGCTCTGACCTGCTTCTCTTGACCAGCAGTCTTTCAAGGACTGGGAGGTACGTTTCCTCCAGCTTATCGTCGACTGTCGCGCCGCGGTTGGCTCTCTTGTGGTTGATCATCTGTCTCAATTGGGTTTCGGGGCTGCCGAGCAACGAGTCCTCGATGAAACGGCAAGCGGTTGCCGCAAAGATGAATAGTGGAGTGGCTTTCTGGGTGAGCATTTGAAGCCTTTGGTCCCCCGGCCAATCCACGGCAAGTTGATCGTCATTTTCTGCATTCCAGTTCTCTTTGATCTTGGTCAACTCGTATTCGAGGAAAACTCTGATATCATGTTCAATTACATCCTCTTCTACTTCATGAAGGATGAATTCCCGGTACCATCCCAAAATAGGACGGCGTCCGAAATGAACGGCTGTATCTGGCCTACTCGTAAGGAAGACTTTGACTTTGCAGGAGGTGGCTTCAGTGAGCTCATGTAACATTGGGATAAGAAGGTTGATATCTCCTCTGTTATCGCACTCGTCGAGGGCGTCGACTATGATGGCACAACGTACAGCTCTGTGTTCCTTAAAGGCAGCTTCTAGTGGGCCAAGGATGAGTTTATCAAACTGCTCTCGCATATTTTTGTCGGAAATATCGCTGCTTTCCTTTATTGTTTGGACGAGATGTGGCCTTAGCTGGGAACGATGGTTGACAAGTTGTCGAGCGATAGTGCTGAAGAACAACGAGCCGTTACTGCGGTCGCTTTCGCCTCTTTTGAAGAAAAAGGTCGCACCAAGAAGCTTCAGATCATTGAGGTTTTGGGCTACAGTCCGAGAAATGGTAGATTTGCCCGTTCCAGCGAGTCCACTGAGCCAGAACATTCGTCGATCGTCGACGTCACTAGCCCAGGTGTGTATACGCTGAAGAAGGTCCACGCGTGTATCTTCAAGACACCTCGGCTCATTCTGGTCGTCATACGTATCGAACTGTGCCCCCCTTGATGTCTTCAGATTTCCAAGGGTACCGTAGTCAGTATGTGTTTTGAAATCTAAGAGGTCTTGGTCGAGGGTGAATGTTAGAAACGGAACTTCCTACCAAGATAGTTACACTACTTACACTCCGAGAGTACATCCGAGATCCTCCCTTGACCCTCGAGATTGACTCTTGAAACCCGACTTAACAAGGCCTTTGCATACCCTGCAGCCACCAGAGCAGCGTATCCTTGCCAGATGTCGTTCTTGTGACTATCCGCGTAGTCGCAGATTCCCCTGACAACAATGCACGGAAAGTGGTTCATTAACCCCGCAGCCTCCATTTCAAAACAGAGAACGCCATGATCCTCGGCCAGCTTGTCCCGAACCAAAGCATCCTTCATAAGCTGGTTCGCCGATGCGATTAGGCCATAATGGATCGCGGGTCGCTGCGGGTTTGTTCGAGGCTTTCTCGCAACCAAAACATCTGGCGACACGTCAGGATGGGATCGACCATCGATGTGGACAACATGGCTGTGATACAGGTTGTCTAGCCCAAGTCCTGGACGGCCAAAAGCCTCCTTGATGTTTGCGTGCAGACGTGCCTCGACTTCTCGTTCTAGCAAGTCGGATTGAAGCATAAGGTCTCCCTTTAAAGCGTTGACTGCGGTTCGGATAGCGAACGGAGGCTGGTCAAGGTGCCCCCGAATATCGAATTCTTGATTTTGTATGGTCTTGCCGTAGTCTTACTGTAGTACGCCGCCATACCGTTGACCCGGCGAGCTCACCACAACGTCGCCTAGCCTGATATCGTTTCTGCTGCTGGGTGCGCCGCCGCCGATGCCAACCATCAGACCAATTCTCACATTCTCAAAGGTATGAAGCATATCTCGTCCAACTGCAGCAGCTGAGTTCGTTCCGTATTCTCCGTCGGGTAGGACCGCAACGACAACATTATGTCCCCCTATGCGACCTAGTTTGTACGCATTGTTATCGTGCTTCGATACCGATATTGGGTCTTCGTGAACCTCGTCGAAGAAAAGTTGGGCAGCGGCGAACTCGGTCGCAATTGCGCAAATCCACCCGACGGTGTACTTTTGGGGGTCGGACATAGTCGTTTATGACGTGGGTGGGATTCAATATCGAGGTCAGGTTAGGGTCCCTGAGTCATTCTGCGGATATCTTTGCCTGAGCAAGGTAGACAAGATTGCTTCGAGCTCTCATTGATGTAGTAAAGTGATAGTAATGAGGAGAAACGATGGAGATAGGAAACCAACTGAAAGAGGGGTCGCTCTGAGACAGACAGCTGAGGGAGGGTCATGAGCTGATATGCGCCGTGTCTTAGAGAGGCGCAGCAAGTGCGAAACCACATCTAGCCGTACTTTTGGCTTTGTTGGTATACAACCCTCACCCGTTCTTGTCTACAGCCTTATGACAAGTCGTCTCAAAAATGTCGTCATAAAAGAGGGAGTCTCTCAAGTGCTCTTAAGCTATGATAAATGACGGCCTTGCTATAAACCTTTTTATCTCCGTGATCCCCAGCTCATATTTTTCTTCCAGACTTCCTTCAATCTTAAAACGTTTTCGTATTATAGATCGCATAGATCGCAGCACAGGGCAATCTTCTTCTCGTCCTTCGATTACTCAGCGTTATAGATATAATCGAGCCGGTTCTAAATCGCTTCCGGTCAAGATAATAAAGATTTCTTCTTCGCAAAGAAGTGCTATATATTAGGCCGTTATTCAAAATATTATTACGGCCAACGTCCTTCTTTTATCCAGTGAGCGGCAGGATCGAGTCCTTCGTCTCTTTTATACTATATTGGCTCGTGAATACACGATACTCGTGACCGCTTCAAGCTGCGACTATCTTCAAGAGTGTACTGGTTGTCGCGAGATCGCTGTCGATGAGTCGTTTGAGGGGGCGCACGCGCTCCTGGCGTCTGCTGCGGCGAGGTCAGCAATGCGTCTCTTAGTGACGGCTCCGGCGGAGGCTTTAGAAAAGTCGGTCGAGTCTTCTTGCTTAAGTGTCGCCCCTGGTGGTGAGGTGATGTTTGCTGCCGGGTCGTGCGCACTCTAACCTAGTGTTTCTCTTCTACGATGGCGCGCACCTCGTACCTTGAGTACAGGGAATCCTGTTCTAGCGAGCGCTCAACTCGGCGCATAATTGAGCTCAAGTGCGTTCCATGGCAATAGAAGAGAGCGTAGAGACGTTGATATATGAAAAGAGCGTCTCCCCGAAGGTGGAATCGATGAAGCGTGGATTAGCTGTGATTATGAAACTGGCATGAACAGTCCTGGCTGTTCCGTATTAAAGTAGTCGCCCTTCCGAGCAAGGATAGCCGGGCAGCAAGGCTGGCCCCACAAAGCCCCCCTATGCCCTCAGCCCCAGCCAGGCTTTAGTGGCTTGGGTCCTTGAGTCTTGAGGTCCGGTCTGCCAGACGGATTCTTGGCCATGGGGAGAGATCTCCTACTGCTGCGTCGCGTGGTCGCAGACTAATAGAGTGGTATGGAGAGACAGGAGCTGTGTGTGGGAGATGTCGAGCGGAGGCAGAGGCAGAGGCAGAGGCAGAGGCAGAGGCAAAAGGAGGGAAAGATGCAGATTGGGATTGTCGATTGCAGATTCTGGGTCGATGCTGAAGTGCGGCGTACCTGTTGCTGCGTAAATATTTCAAGGAGTTTCCATTCCAAAGGACGTCGCAAGCGCGGCATCATTGTTAAAAGAATGGATCATGAATTTTAGGAACGTCTAATGTCATGAACGGTAAACGTGCCAAATCAGCGCCAACAAGCGGTTTCCCGCTAGCTCCCTTCCCGCTCAACCCGCCCTCGGCTCGCCAAGAAGAGATCTCCCCGCAGTACGACAACACCGAGCTTTCTGCCCTTTTATCAATGCTTCGCAGTCCAGCAGCGTGCCATCTCGTAGAATTCAGCGCTGGAAACAAAAGTCTTCAACCTTTGTACTAGCCACATCGAAAATGTCTGCCCCCGAAGATCTTGTGAAGCTGGATGATTTCCATAACATCTTCTCACTCAAAGGGAAAGTTGCAGTCATCTCTGGCGGGTCGCGCGGATTGGGTCTTCATACAGCAAGCGGGTAAGTCTCAGGATTTTCAGAGCCCAATCTGCTTCCGACGGTGGTGATAGCTAATTGGCTTTGTAGCATTCTGCAGGCAGGATGCTCCCGCGTTTACCTAGTCGCCCGTAGCGAGGGCCCGTTGCACGATGCCGCCAAAGCCCTGAACGCCCTCTCCAATAAAGGCCCCGACGCCCGGGCGATCCCGATCGTTGCGGATATCTCGAGCCAAGCAGGATGCGCGCAGATGGCCGCTGAAATTAGCAAGACCACGGATCATGTCGACATTTTGGTTGCCAACGCTGGTGCAACTTTTATTGGCCACATGGATGCTTACAAAGAAGACGATTTCGACCGGGTCATGAAGATGAACGTCAGCAGCATATTCTTTTCGGCTCAAAAGTGAGTGCCTCTGATCTTTGATGTTACTCGTAGGGAGATTGACATGTTTTATAGATTATCTCCGCTCCTTCAGGCTGGTGGCACAATCCAGGACCCGTCTCGTATTATCATGGTGTCTTCAGTAGCGGGCGTCGTAGTTGGGGACATGGGCGAGCACGGAAGTAAGTCTCCTCGATTCAAGGACCATGTCAATTGTGTCCCTAATCTTTTAACAGCATACGCCTATGCCGCTTCCAAAGCCGCTGTCATTCATCTCATGAAGAATCTCGCCGTGGAACTTGGTCCGAAGCATATTACGGTCAACGTAGTTGCACCTGGAATAGTTCCTAGCCAAATGAGCGCGCCGCTGATGGATCGACATGGTGGTCTTGAAAGCGTCGCAAAGCAAGTACCGGACCAGAAATTGGGTAGTCCAGAGGATGTTGCGGGTGTGATGGTTTTCCTCTCTTCAAGGGCAAGCAAGCACATCAACGGGGCAACGATTGTGTTGGATGGTGGGAGCTACCTGGTTAGAGGATGTGCCTAGCATAGTTCTTCATCTACAATCCCGTTATTTGGGCTAAACTATTGGACTTTCGCCGCAGTATGGCACTTATGCGCTCAATGTTTATGCATGTTCCCACATTAATACTCGAAACTGTCGTTCGTCGCAGATTCTGTCAACATTCTGAAACTGTGCTGTGAAGATTTAGCTCGTCAATTAGTAGGATACTTGGATAGCTCAGCAAGATCTCGGGTGTTCGTTCATCGTGGATGTCGTAGCCGTCGTTATGTGTGGTACGGCGGCTATGAGCGGTGAGCGGTAAACCGCTACTCCCGCACTCCCGCTCGACCGCCAGCCAATGCATTCCAGGCCGGATCAGGGAAAGAGTCCTTGAGACTAAAACCTAGACTGACCGGAAAACCAGGATAGTCCTTGATACGTTATCAACCCCATGGGGAAACCATCCGAGGTCTCCATCCGCGTGGCTGTGGAGTTTACCCCAGGTTTTCCAGGCCATGGAATTAGCACCGGACCAAGTTAGCTAGAGTCGTCATGGTCATTTCGAAAAGAAAGACATTGCCAATCATACATAAGCTCTCGGTTGCGTGTCACAAACTGTTTGATCTTGTAGATGTATGTTGCTCAGTCTGCTTTCAATACTTTGAACTTTATACCCTCCACGTATTACTCAGTTTGTCGAAATCCAAGATGGGCGGCGGCGCAGTAGCTTTTGGTGCTTCAGGAACCGAGTCCAATTACAAGTTAGTCCGAAATAATGCCAACAGCAAGTGGTGGCTAGATGCTGGTGAGATGATTTGCTTCCCCGAGGGGAGGTCGGAGTGCTAATCTTGTAGGTCTGCGGAAAAATGTGTTCCATTGCATCGGACTCTGTGGCACACTCTTCTTCAATGGCTGTAAGAACAAACATGGAGGCTCTGCAACTTGCATGAGGCGAAGGTATAGTCGCGCTAACAGTATCGCGAAGATGACGGAAGTCTGTTCAACGGCCTTCAGACGATCGACGCGTGGCAAAACTTCTTCGGCCATCCCAAAGGAAATCTGCTCGGTCTGATGAACTCAGCTGCGCTGTTCCCTGGGTTGATATCTCCGTACTTTGCTGAGCTGATTGCGAATCGATTCGGAAGACGATGGGCCGTTTGGATTGGTGTTCTGATCAATGTGAGTATGAAAACCGGGTCTTCTTGCTTGCAATACTGACGCGTGGATCAATCCAGATAGCTGGGGCTGTAGTCAACTCTGCGGCAATCAACCTTGGCATGTACATTGCCGGACGTGTCTTGATGGGCATTGGCATCTCCATGGGGCTCACCATTGCACCAACCCTACTGCAGGAGATCGCGCATCCTCGCTATCGAGCCCAGATTGGTAGCATGTGTACGTGACAAGCTCCAGTTTCAGGAGACAGCAATCAGAAACCAGACACTGACGTTTCCCAGATACCTGCATCTACTATATTGCCGCTGTCATTTCTGCTGCTGTCTGTCTCGGCGCCAGACATATTGAAGGAAACGCTGCGTGGAGAATCCCCTGCTATTTGCAGCTCGTTGGCCCAGGCGTGACTCTGGCCATGACCTTCACGATGCCTGAGTCCCCGAGAGTAAGTCATTTGGTTTCCTCCTCCACCATGGGATTAGCGTTGACCTTTGTGCTAGTGGCTAGTTCGACACGGTGCCTCCGATGAAGCTTTACAAGTCCTTGGAAAATACCACGCAAATGGCGACATCAACGACCCCCTTGTTCGGCTCGAATACGAGGAGATAATGGAAAACGTCCGTGCCGATGAGCTCAATTCCGAGACCAAGTACACCGACTATCTCCTACCGAAAAACCGGCCGCGTCTCTTCCTGCTTGTTGCGATTGCGATAGGTAGTAACTGGGTAGGCAATGGAATAATAAGTTATTATCTATCGCCTATTTTGAGTACAATTGGCATTCGGTCTACGGAACAGCAGGCTGGGCTCAATTTGGGCTTACAAGTCTGGAACCGTAAGCTCATCCGTATTTGCTTGCTATGCTTTTTTGCTTGACCCTATGGGTCAGAGGCAAGGAATCAGGAATGCTAATTACTCTTCTCACTACCTAGTTATACTGTCAACGTCGGCAGCGCTTTCTGTTGATCGCGTCGGGCGCAGGCCTCTCTGGCTCACCTCAACCATCGGCATGTTCTTTTCGTTCATTGTCGTCATGGGGCTTTCTGGAGCTTATGACACTCAAGGGCAGCAAAAGGCAGTGGGCCTTGCCGTTGTCCCGTTCTTGTTCGTTTTCTTCGGCTTCTATGACCTCGCATGGACCCCACTGTCAAACATGTACTCGGTTGAGATCCTGCCCTACAACCTACGCACCAAAGGACAGGCAATCTACAACATTGTTCAAGGATCTGCTAATGCCGTCAACCAGTGGGTTAACCCAATCATCCTCGACGCTATCCACTGGAAATACTATGCGGTGTACATTGGCATTCTGGCCCTTTACTGCGTCATTATTTACCTGCGATTCCCGGAGACGAAGGGACTTACCATTGAGGAGATCGCCATCATCTTTGATGGCGACAGAGCCAAGGGTATTAACCATGCTGCGCGTGGGGTCCGAGATGAGCCTCACATCGTCGGTGATGGTCATTCAATTCGATCTGAGCATGCGGACGACATCTCCATCAAGCAGAACGGTATGAGTGGCAAGGGAAATGGCAACGTCACTGCCTCTGAGCATGCATGAGTAATCTACCAAAGATTTTGACGAGACTAGAGTCTATGACCTGATAGATCCATAGTTACTATCTTCCGTGGCATTTAATCACGGGGGAATAGAATTTGAAATCTTCGATTGAGAGACAGTCATTCACATAAGTGTAAATAGCAGTTTCAAGATCCGCATGCATTGGTTCCCATAATCATTTGTTGCTTCCATAGCGAATTTTCGAAAGCTGATCGACAATCTGGTCTTCGATTGCCTTGCAAGCATCATTAACAATCCAGACCACATTGTAGGTTACTTTTACAGGCAGTAGAACGAATTATTCTTAATTTTGGTGATTTCCAAGATGAAGACTTTTATCTGTCTTTTTGGCCCAGTTTTTCCCAAATGTTGGTTGCAGAAGGGAGACACGGACGTAAGGGGGAACTAGCTAACCTCAAACCACTCCTATCTCCTGTTATCGTCATCGCCGAGGGAAATCGGCGGGGTAAGCAAGTGGCAAGCGCCTTCGGCATATGATGATCCCACGGTCAGCAACTAGGAAGATTGATACGGCGTTACTGAACAAGGGGGTTGGTGAAGCGGGAAGCCGGCGGGACATCACTTGCCGCTTCCCGCCTTCGTGTCTGAGTGTTGCGGCATGAGGATGCCGATCCGACAAGTTCTCCGTACGCCACATAGGTGCGACTTAACGCAGGAGCGTTGATGTGAGCCAGGTGACCATGATACGAGCTGCATAGCGATCATTTGTTGCGAAAACTCATTGTGGTAGAAATGACAGTTATGTGATCAGGTACGTTATGGCTACTCTGCAGCATCCACATTGATATTTCAGGGTCAGAACCTGCACAGCTGTCCAAGGTAACCAAGACATTTGGTTTCCAGTCTTTGCGGTATCACAAATTTGCGAACCCACGTCAGCATGAGTCCGCCAACCGTCGCCGAGCTTGCAAAGCTCATTGATCATTCTGTCATTGACCCTTTCCACACCGAAAATGATCTGAGAGAGGGAGTCGCCCTAGCCAAGGAATACGGCACGGGTCAGTTCGTAACGCAGCCTTTCCGCGTCAAGTTAGCTCGCGAGCTCTTGAAGGGCACCGATATCAAGCTCCAGACCTTTGTGGGTCTTCCCCATGGAAGCGATCACACTGCTGTCAAAGTTCTTCAGGCCTCCCTAGCCCTTGAGGATGGGGCACAAGAGATCGACATGGTCATCAACATCTCTGCGCTACTTTCCGGAGATGTCAAGTATGTGGAAGAAGAGATCAAGGCTGTCGTTGAAACAGCAAAGGTACGTAGCCGCCATGCTTGCGATTCGATGGGGTCTAGCCAGCATCGACTAACCCGACTATGACATGAAGCGATACGACGTAGTTGTCAAGGCCATCATCGAAGTCTACTTCTTGAACGATGAGCAAATCAAAACGGCAGCGTTGGCGGCAGAGCGGGCTGGTGTTGGCTTTGTCAAGACCTCGACGGGCACCAAACCAGACAGAGTGCCGGATGTGGAGCGTGCGGTGAAGGTCCTGAGATCTGTGCTCAAGCCCACGACAGTGATCAAGGCATCCGGTGGATGCTACACGACTGATGCTATCGTGACCTATTACAAGGCTGGCGCGAGACGATTTGGCGCATTTGAGACCGCGAAGATTCTAGACGGCTATCAGGAGCTATTGCTCCGAGGTACGACAGGTCTAGAATAGGACATGATCCTGGACGTAGTTTATATGGCTCTAAACAGCAATCCTGGGCTCGGTTTAAATACAAATTGCCCCGATTCTCCGATGCTTTTTCTTCAAATACCAAGTTGACAGCAACAAGACCCTTTATCTAGGGAAGCTTTTCACCTTCTATCCTAGAGCGACGATATTTTCTGTGGGCTTGTTTAAGCTCTACTCTCGCCGTCTCTACTGTCGTGGCCCTTGATCGAAGCAAATCTCAACTTTATCAAGTATATCCATGCTCTAACTATGCAGACACAGAAAAGCCAGGCAGTCTTTTTATCTAAAAAGGGCTTTGGGGGTCTCATGATATCGACGTAAACATCTTCGAATATCTATGGACCGTACTCCTTGACGTATATGCCTCCTAGGAGGGTAAGAACTTTGGATTTATCGAATTCAAATTAACGATGCGAACGAGGAGGGAAGAGCCACGGAACGAATGCTTGTAGCAAGAGAATGCTTTTTTATTCATGAAGGTAAGGAGACAGTATTGATCGAAGCCAATTGAAATGTTCCCAGGCATACTGGAGCTGTCTCTCAGTCTATGTCGTTGCTAAGGTACTCCTGAATCCTAAAGATTCAGTCGGGCAATCTCGCCCTCAATGGCAGCTTTAGCCTTCACATCCGCGTCTCCGAAAGCCTTGAAGACATCTTTCAACTTCTTCACAACAGCTGGATCAGCTTCGATTGCCTTTGAAAGCTCCTCGCCATCATTCGCCAGCCAATTCGTCTCCGTGCTGGCGAATTTGCCGTCCCATGTGGGTCCCACCAAGGGGTCGATCTTCATATGACCCTGGAGTCTCTCTGATGTCTTGAAGTCCTTGTAGTACGGTGCTTGTTTCTTCGGAGGGGGGTTCTTCAGGAAGGGGTATCTTGAGAGTGTGGTGTCGTCTAGGGCTGTATTCTGAAGTTCTTCCAGGTGATGGGCAAGGATCGTGATGTGTTGGCAACCCAGTTCGGCGGTGGCAATAATCTCACCAACATTCGCGTTGCTGCAATCTCATGAGATGATGTTCCTCAGACGAAAGAAGAAAATGTCCTCAGGGTGCCTACCTCGCAATAACAATGACAGGCTGGTCCTTCCCCGTTGCTTGGTACATCTTGGCGTACGTCTCCAAAATGTGGACTAGACGAGGAGCCATCGGGTGCTTGAGGAATTTGATTAGTATGAATCGAATAAATTATGCGTGATTGGCACCCACCGTCAATGCGGGATCCTGTCCCTTGTGCATCAAAGAGTCGTCTTCGTAAGCGGCCACCTCTGCAAGGTATCAGTCTCGGGAGGAGGGTTGTATCGGATGTCTGTTCCTCACCGTTGAAATACGGGCTCACAAAAAGGCATCCCGCCTGGCTTGCTGCAATAGCCTGCGCGAGGCTAAATAGCGAAGTTCCCAAAGTTCTGATTCCCTCCTCGTTCAAAATCTTGGCGGCGGCCAAGCCTGGTCCTGTCGAGGCGATTTTGATCGCGTATTGATCGCGTGTAATACCGTGGTCTCTGAATGCTCGATCGTACGCGTGGCATTGGTCCAAGACCTGCTGCTTGTCGTGGACGTGGCTAGGTGACACTTGCACGAGAACGCGACCGGTGATGTTCTTTCGGTTGTCTGCGCAGAACTGGACGGACTGAACGCCGAGTCAACAACGTTCGCCGACTATGTTTCTTTATGGATCGATCAAACTTACAACGCGGTTGAACACTTCCTCCCACCCTTGGGAACCGTACTTCTTGACGTTTTCCAATAAGATGTCCCGGTATTCTGGCTCAAGCATGGTGTTGCAGCAAATCACCTGGTTCGATGTTTCTAGAGCCGGTCAGCGCGAAGCGGTCCATGGTGAGCTCCCAATGCTTTCGGAAGACGAACGATTGTGGGGTTTGAATGGCATCTTGGTAGATGCCTTCGGATCAATCGCATCAACGTCGACATTGCAAACCCTCTCCAGAGCTTCCAACAAGCTGATGCGTTTTTCGATGGCCATGACCGGAACTGTTCACTGAATTGCTGCGCGGACGGATGAAACGCCAATTTTGAGACAAGATCAATATTGCAGTGCTCAAAGTTACTTCTACAACATGGAGAAGCTCAATCAATAAGAATGCATCGTCATCTACACACGAACCCGTCTTCAAAGTGAGTGACATCGCCGTCCAATCTGCCGAAGTTTGGCCGCGGTAGTGATGCCGCTTCGTCCGCCGCCTCCGCCAGTCCCTCAATTGAGTGCAGATGCGCAACGTCCCCCCACATGAACTTGCATCACGGAGCGGTGCACTGCCGACTGAATCCTAACGTAGTGACAATGACCCGAAACTGGGTTCCGGTATAAGGGCGCCGGAGGTTGTTTGGTGGCTCAACGAGATAGTGGTTGATGTGCTCAGTGAACCATCAGAAGCAAGCTGGAAAGGCACGCAAAAACCGTCAAACTATGTCCAGTCCAATCCCTACAAACCAGAGAACGACTTCTCTCAACGATGGAAATCGAATCCCGGTGATTGGCCTGGGTACATACCTATCCAAGCCGAATGAGGTTCGAGACGCCGTTCTAGCGGGGTAGGCAATTTGACATCTATGGAATTGTGCTACAGTTGCTGACACAGGAATGAAGGTGGAGATGTGGCGTGCGGCACTTCGACTGCGCTCAGTTTTACCAGGTTGGTTTCCACAATGGCTATGGAGGTTTCATCCATCTCATGTGGGTTAACCTGGGTGCCAGAATGAAAAGGAAATTGGTTCAGCCCTCGCCATCCTCAGGAAGGAGGAGCCGAGCTTCAAGAGGGAGGATCTTTTCATCACTAGCAAAGCTTGGAACTCGTGAGTCCAGATGGGAGCATTCGTGCAATGACCCGTTTGTACTGACGTTTGGAACATAGACATCATCGACCCGAGAATCTGAACAAGGCCCTCGATCAGACTCTGAAAGACTTGGGCACGGAATATTTGGATCTTTACCTGGTATGAGCAATGTCTGAACTGTACGTTGTAGACCGCGATGCTGATGAAACAGATCCACTGGCCGGTCAACTTTGCCGCGGTCACTGACGCCAAGTCGGATACTGGCGTAAAGCTCGAACCATTCGAAGAAGGCATCATGCTGCTCGATAGGGAGCTGAGCTTGACTACCACATGGGAAGCTATGATTGACGTTCAGAAGGCTGGCAAAGTCAAGAGGTAATTTTCCTTCTGGTTTTAACGCGATCCAAGCGTATGATGCTGACATTTCACCAAGCATTGGCGTCAGCAACTTCAGCCCGGCGCATGTGCAGAGACTCATTAACGAGACTGGTGTAGTGCCGGCTGTCAACCAAGGTACGTCAGAACTACGGCTTGCATTTGACTCATTTGTGATGAGAATCCTTGCTCATGCAAAACTTGTTCCTTTCCACTAGTTGAAGCCCACCCTCTTCTGATCCAACAAGAGCTTCTCGACTACTCCAAGGCAAAAGGCATCCATGTTACCGCTTACATGCCGTTTGGCGGCGATGCAACTCGCGGAGGGGCCAAGGTCCTCGGAAATCCCGTGGTGGACCAGATTGCTTCCAAGTTCGGCAAAGATGCCGGCCAGGTTCTAGGATCGTGGGGAATCAAGGTAAGCATCTTTTTGGCTACGGGGACGTATTTCTGACACGCAATCAGCGAGGATTTTCTGTACTACCAAAATCTGTGAAGCCATCCAGAATCGAGTCTAACTTCCAGGTTTTCGACATTGATAACGAAAGGTAACGTGCAATCTCAGTATTAGAGGAAAACAGCTAGGCTAATGCTCCATGTTTTTGGAATCTATAGCTATGAAACACTCACTGAGCTTGGCCGCAAAGCGCCTGCCCGTTTTGGAGGTCTCCCCTTCACTTTTGATCCAGCCTGGAAGGTCAACGTGTTTGACACTCCTGAAGAACGCAACGCTGACCTTCTTGAACCATTTTGAGTCCATAAATTGGCATGGACTCAAACATGAAGGAAGAATCTGGGCATAGTTAGACTCCCTTTGTAGTATCGATTCAAAACTTTCTGCCAAGCTTCCATAATACCTCATTGCTCTTGATCAGATTGTGCTCTCTGCCGCTTGTCGTGAAATGGTACTCGTGCGTAGTGGAAGTCCGGGAAGTAACAACCACAGCAGAAAGCAGACTGCAAGGACCGCAAGTATAATGGGTTGAAGAACAGCCACCCCTTTGGCTTGAGCAATAGCTCCGACCATGAATGGAACGATTGAGGCACCGGAGGCTCCGACAGCCGAGCAGATTCCGATTGCAGACACCCTCATTCTCTGTGGCAGGAGTCGGGACAGACAGACAATGACTGCGGGGAAGACAGGGCCAAGGAAGAAGCCTGTCAGGGGCGTCAGAGAAGCACTTCAGTTTTTAGAAGGAGGAATTATACCTAGGAGCGCAACAATGATCGCCGAAGAGATGAAGTTGGGGATGAGCCAGTACAAAACTTGCATGATGATGGCACAGACCAAATACACAGTCACGGCATGCTTCTCAGACTTGAATACCCGTCCAGTGACAAAGCCAAGAATGATCCGGCCGACAGTGATTCCAGCCCAGAAACCACTGGCAGTAAGTCCTGACGCAAAGGCGGAGCCGCCGCGCACATCAATCATGAAAGTCACAAGCCAACCTCCAAGAGCGACCTCGGACCCGACATATGCCAGAAGGAACACACTGCAAACGAGAACAACCTTGTTTTTGAGGCAGTTCCACGTGTTACTGGTCCTGAAGCTTCTGGCAGCCTTGAAGACCCTCGAAGGAGGGTTTCGCCTCAGGGGCGGGCGGCCTGCATTCTCACCAAGCGGCATCGCCTGCAAGGGGACCTCTGTTGTTTCTTGCTGTCCCCGAGACTCGCCAATCTCCTCTCGATATGTCTTCCCATTCTGCGAATAAAAGAGAGACAGGGTGAGAATGAACTCCGAAGCAGCCATCGCAACCAAGACATAGTATATCTGGTACCAATGCCAGCCGTATTGGGAGAACAATGCACTGGCGGTGACGGGAGTAATAGTCGCACCTATCCCGTAAAAGCCGTGCAAGAGGCCTAGAAGCTCATTCGAGTTCTGGAAACCTCCAACAAATGAGTTCCAGGCAGCGGTCTTGGCGCCTGAGCCGAGGCCGACGAGGATGTAGACGACAACGAGAACTGGGAACGGCGGGTGGAAGCAACCGACGAGGTACGCCGTGACATGACAAGTCCCGGCCATGATGATGACTCCACGCTTGCCATGGCGTAAATGGACGGCGTGGTTCGATACCGTGCTGATGATGAAGCCCAACACGGGGGATAGGAAGATGAGCGATACTTGGAGGTAAGTGATGCCGTAGTACTCCTCAATCTGTCATCCAGTGGTCAGTCTGAGCAAGAATGAATGCATGTAGACATCAGAAAGATCATCTATCAGAGTGACTAGACGAACCTGCGGGATGAGAACCTAAAATCGTCGCCAAGTCAGTCGAGAGGCTTGTAAGGGGAAGGCCGTGTTGTACTAACACCGTAAGAACTGTCATTGCTACCCACAAGCAGGAAACACCAGAATATCGCGCCTAGTTTGGCAATATTGATGCGTGGGAAATCCCATCTTTCATAAGAAGCTTGCGGGTGTGTCTCGTCGGACTCGGGCTCGGGATGGGCTGGTTGGACTGCACGAGATCTCTGGCGTCGAAACGGCCCATTGTTGATGAGAAACGAAGAGATGGGAGAGATGAGCTTCAAGGGCGCCATGGTGAGGATGAGCCGTGCTTGATGAGCTGAGTGAGCTGAATGAGCCGAGTCAACGGTGGCAACACAGCAAAACACCGAGAGTCGCAACCCGGGGACCGCAGCTCTCATTTATCATCGGCAGTTCATGGTCTTTGATGAGGGTTTCTTGAGAGGGAATCCACTCATTGGCTCCTAGAAGAAGCCATTTGGGATCAAGCACCTGGTACGTACTGTTACCACGCACAGTGTTTGCTATTCCCCTACTTCTGAGATGGGCAGCTTGATGCAGGCCGCGTGCTGGCGCCGAAAAGTCTCGGGTCTCGGGCTCAGTGGGTTAGCTGCTATTTCCGCTACCAAGCCTGAAAATATGGGGACCCCAAGCCTACGGATAACCACGGTGCCACTCAAGGGTCCGCCCGGGCTGATCTGTCTGGCGCCGGCGCGGGGAGGATGCGGGGAAGTTGGCTTCGAGGTTGTTTACCCCAGATTCGTGCCCTTGTCATGTTCATCAGACCAGCATCTCAACCCTCCTAGACACGTATATCATCTAGTAGCAGCGCAATTACATCAAGATACTGCGCAGCGATGACACTTTGAGCCTCTTGGCTCCTCTCAGCGTCAACATCGGCAATCGCGCGCAAGCACCACATCGGAATCTGCATCATGACCAGTCAAGGGCGCCCAAGGCTGAACTACCCGCGGCGGAGGGCACCCGTTGCTTGCCACTTTTGTCGATATCGGTACGTTGAAATCTTTGTTGAAGCTTCGCTTCCAAGCCGAATAAATGACTGACGTCTCTTGCTCAGCAAAAGAAAATGTGACTCCCAGCGCCCTGCGTGCGGTTTATGCGCTGTGTCTGGCGTTGATTGCGAGTACCCAGAGCCCTCAGAAGACACGAGGTACAGGCCCTGTTTCCAGACTCCTACAGCCCTTTTAACTGAATGCCATGATGCTGACGAGGAGTGTTACGGCTTGCCTCTAGGCAAAACACAGCGCAAGCCACAGCGAATTTGCCGGTAGATGCTCTCTTGCGCCGTTTGGATCAGCTTGAGGATATGTTGAAACAGCGAAATGGGCAGCGGCAAGAGTCTCACCCAACACAGGAAAGCGACGAACAGCCTCCGTCAGAGCGACCATCACCAGGCTCTCCTCACCAAGAGGAAGCATCACCCAGCTTACAGGCCTCGCCATCACAACAGACTCCTCCGCCGGACGACCTCACAGGCCAATCTACTGATAGTAGTCCGACACCTGTCCTTACTGAGTCTACTTTACCGACTACCGTTACGGATGGTGTCACCATTGCGGCATCGGATCCGGACCAAGGCAATCAACATGAAGCCCAAGGGGAGCTGATGAGTGATGTGTACGATGAGTCCATGCTCGACAACATACAAGGCTTCGTATCCTACCTGTCAGCCCATGGTCCGGCTATGGCAACCTCGCATCCCATCGAAAAGACGTGGGTCTCGGCTGAGCCACCATATCCAGTGATCGGCCACGGTCACGGTCAGCGCTGTATCACTTGCGGCCGATCTGATAGCCGCTTGTTAGATGACGCGCCCATCACGATCCCGATAGGCCACCACACATCGACCGGGAGCATGTTCGCTCTTGAACCTGTTCGTCGTCTGATTGGTGACTACCCACGAGACTTCTTCTACCAGGTTGAGACATGCCGAACAAGCATCCCGGAACTCAGCGCTAGACATGACTTGTCACTCCTCCTTGCGTCCGTTGACTTCATTGGCGGTGCAACTGATGGTCTCATTTCCAGCTACTTCACTAACATCAACTCTACATTCCCCATATTGGACAAGACGTCCTTCACTGATCTCTTTCATCGTACCCTGCGAGGTGATCAGTGCGAAGACGTCGATGCCGCAGTCTGCCTGGTCGTCTTGGCCCTTGGGAAGCTGGTCAATTCCAACAGCGAAGATGCCGGCTCGACGAACCACTCGTACGGTCTCGAATACTTCATCCCCGCCTACCAGATATTGACAACGCAGTGGGTTACCTCCTTCGGCACGGATCTTTCTCTACCCACTGGCCTGGTCCTTTCTGCCATCTACATGTCTTGCCTCGCTCGACCACTCCTTGCTTGGAAGCTTGTGTACATGGCTTCGAGTAAGCTGCAAATGATGGTGCCAAGCCGAAATCAGGGCAGCGTGGCCTTTTCCAATGCAGAGAATGAAACCGTCGGCCGCCTCTTCTGGGCGTGCTTTTTACTAGAGTGGTTCGTCACAACCCGCACGTGTCATGCCCTGCTAACTTGAGCATGGCTAGTGACAACTTGGCTGAGCTGCATGTCCCACCAAGCGGCATCGAAATTGACATTGACCGCATGCAGTATCCCCGGCTCAGCAGCCCCGATGAAAGAGACGGACTCGTATTTCTTGCTTTGTGCTCGGTACGCGGCCTTCTCAATCGCATCCATAATGCAGTATACGCGTCGGGGAGCCAGGCCCCCCTTCAGCCAGCAAGCACTCCCAGCTACACCGAGAATGACAACTCGGCCGGGTCGCCATCGCTATCGACAATTTGCTCACTTGAAAGGGTACTGAATGAGCTCTCACGCCAGCTGGAGGTGTGGTATCACTCATTACCCGACAGCATTAAGCCAGATCTGAGTCACAACGTGCCCACTGATGCGCATGAGGCTTCGCTGCGGCTTCGATACTGGTCAGCCAGACACATCATCTCGCGCCCATGTCTTGTCTATATCTTGTCTGTCAGCACGGCTGACGAGGTCCCCACGTACGTCTACAAGTATGCCGAGACTTGCATTCAGAGCTGTCGCAACTACATCGAAACCGCTCTGCAGGTCTTGACCAAACGTACCCCATACGTGTGGGCAATATGCCAAGCGTGAGTTACGCTCCGTTGTTTCCATTGAAGAATGCAATGCTGATCAGAGTGCTTCCACCAGGTGCCTGGCAACATCTTTTGTGCTAGCTACGTCATCGGAGTCACTGATCTTGAAGCACCTGGTTCCCGATATCGAAGGCATCATCTCTCGGCTCATCGTGGGCATGCAGCGTTGGGCGTCACCCGAGTCCAGCATAGAGTCAATAATTTGCATCCTACAGTCCATCCATCAAAAGCAACGACTGGCGAAACTCAAACGAAGACATCCGTCCTCTTCGATGGGCTGAAAGACCTCGATTTGTCTGTGCAAGGAGACTTGATTTTTCTGTAGGCTACATCTGACATCTGGTTTGGTCTACGTAGAGAATCTCAGCCCTCCATTGGCGCAAACAACACTCCCAGTGCACCAAGACGAGTCCTGACCACAAATCATGCCAACAACGGCGGCAATCTCAGTCCAGTAGGCCGGGCGTCTCCCAGCCATCTTTTCGTTGGCCAGCTTCACCAGCTCTGGCCGATCAACCCCGTCACGAACAGCCGTCAAAGGAGCGGCCAGCTGGAACGGCTCCAACTGCTTCCAGAACTCCTCTCCCGCCGCCCAGTACATGTCGCCCTCGACGGGGCCGGGGTTCACGGCGTTGACCGTGGCCCGCTCAACAAGCTCTCTCGCCCACGTCCTCGTCATGGCCTCCAACGCGGCCTTCGTTCCGCCGTATAGGGTGTGCGTCTTGAAGCCCATGCTCGAGGCGACCGAAGAGATGTTGACGATGCGGCCCGAGCGGTCGTGTGGCAGGTACGGCAGGAGGGCTTGCGTGACCATGATGGGAGCCAAGACATTGACGGCGTAGATTCGGTGGAACTCGTCGGCTGGAACCTCGCCCAGGGCATAGTCACCGCCGACGCCGGCGTTGTTGATCAGTATGTCGATGACGAGGGTGCCATCGGGACGGGAGAAGTTGGCCTTGGCCGTCTCCACGATGCGCTTGCCTGCTTCCTCGGGCTGAAGGAGATCGGTTTGGAGGGGGACGATCTTGACGCCGTGCTTTGAGGAGAGCGATGCTGTCAGTTCCTGTGCCGCTTTGGTGGACGAGTCCGACGTGTACACGCCCACGATATTGGCGCCTTTGCCTGCAAGATGCTGCGTAATGGCAGACCCGATGCCTCATTCATATGTTAGCGAAGGTTCATTTGACATGGAGAGAGAGAGTAATCTACCTCGGAAGGCGCCGGTGACAACGGCAATTTTGCGTTCGAGAGGTCGAGCTGTGGTGGACGCCATTTCTGCTGTAGGAGGTGTATATCGAATGCCTTCTTCTCTCAAGGATTGGGTCTAAAACGTGAGAAAATGAAGACAACAAGATTTGCGACATGTAGCTTCGATGTTAAAGCAGTACAAATGAGTATGGTGAATCGCCTCTGTTGTGTCTACTTTTCTACTACCTCACTCGGTCCATCTTGTAGCGAGTCGCGACCACATCACTACCTCGACATGCATCTGGGGCCTAACGAATGTCACCAGCTCAAACGGTCTCACTTCCGCTTGCTCCGACACTCTCTCTAGAAGCAGCATCTGATGGGCCAGGCCAAAGCAGTCATTCACGAAGGTGGCGGACAAGTGCGGAAGTGCGGGAAGAGCACCGCCTGGTGGTCTTTGGACAGGTACCGGTACTCATGCGGGGGAAGGGGGGGGGGGGGATCATCATGCAGGGACCTCTGCGTCACGCCGCATGTGCTACACATGGCGACGCAACAGCAAATTTGAAGGGTCTTCTTCGCATTTGATATCACAGTTCCAGACTGACATGACACGTTTGCACTTCTTTTACGAAATCTTCTCGCTGAATAGTACAGATACGTGTCCCTGAGGACGCATCACGACGAAAGCAACATGAGCAACACGGCAGACCCCTCGTTCCGAGAGGTGAAGGCGCGGCAGGGCGGCCCTACAACTCGGACTGCGGACTTGTTCCGCCTGGATGGTCGCACCATCATCAGTAAGTGTCACGTCGTGTCTATCCGATTTTCAAAATGAGTGAGATCCGAGAAAGCTGAAAGAAATCAAAGCTAACGTGAATCAAACAAACAGTAACTGGCGGCGCCGGCTACCTGGGTATCGAAGTTGCCCAGGCGGTACTGGAGGCTGGAGGCAACCCTGTGTGTCTTGATATTGTCACCAGTCCTCCCAGCGAACCTTGGAGTAAGTTAGCAACCCGTTCTCTGCTGAAAAAAGTGGTTTCAAATGCTTGGAACTGCAATTTCAGAGGTGACGAGGAGTAGCCATAGCTGACTTCCGAATTTCACAGATCAATTGGAAAAGCTCGCCTCCAAGTCTGGCCAGCAGTTGTTATACCATCGCCTCGACGTGACCAACGAGAACAGCATCACGACGGTATTCAAAGAGCTCGTACCGACCCTCCACTATCCCATACGGGGCTTGGTAGCTTGTGCCGGCGTGTCCGACAACGACCCCGCGCACGAATTCTCCATCGAGCGCTTCCGCCGCCTCATGGAGATCAACGTCACCGGCACATTTGCAGCGGCGCAAGCCGTGGCCCTGGAGATGAGCAAGGCCGACGTGGACGGCAGCATGGTCCTGGTCGCGAGCATGAGCGGAACAAATGTCAACAAGGGGGTCGACACCGCCGCGTACAACTCGTCCAAGTCGGCCATCTTGCAACTCGCGCGGTCGCTGGCGGCCGAATGGGGCTCGCGCAAGGGTATGCCGCTCATCAGGGTCAACAGCCTGTCGCCGGGGTACATCAGGACCCCCGCCACCGCCGAGGCGCTGCTGAAGCCTGGCATGGAGAACCAGTGGACGGGGGACAACATGCTGTACCGCCTGAGCGCCGTGGACGAGTTCCGAGGACCGGTGCTTTTCCTCCTGGGAGATGCGAGCAGCTTCATGACGGCGGCGGACCTGCGGGTAGACGGCGGGCATTGTGCATGGTAGAAGCTACAGAATAGCCAAGGCGACTAGCATTTACACGCATAAAATAGACGTCAAATTTTGCAATCTAGTTCCGGCTGCGAGTAGCAGCGAAAATGAAGTAATGGCAACTTGCTTTCACCCAGTCGTTTACAAGATTTAGACCGCCGTGGTTATAGACATGGGATGTAATTCCCGTAGAAATGAAAAGAAGTCAAGTTCTACCCATCTAGACCAATACGAGATTCTCCTGGCAAGGAAGCCTATTCTCTCTAATGTCCTTCGCATTGAGCTCATCGGTTCCAGTCGCGCGTTCCCAAGCCTCCTTCTCGTCCTTCACTATGCCCGCCTGCAGGTGCCTGATAGCGAGCCTCTTATGGGCCACCTCAGCGGGCGTGTCGACGTACCACAGCTCCGTCATCAACTCAGCAGCAGCCCTCCAGGGACCTCTGTTCAGTGCACAATAGTTTCCTTCCACCAAAACGATTCGAACGTGTTGGGGAATAGAAATATCGTCGGCCACAGGATCTTTGGTCGCGTGATCAAAGGAAGGGGCTTTCGCTTCCACCGGAGGCTCGGCGACAAGCTGGCGGACCATGGCCAGAAACCCATCCGCGTCAAAGGTGAAGGCAGCCCCGCGGCGATGGGTAGCGAAAACCGGATCGGGCATCGAGGCGAGATGGGCGCGGGAATAGTGAAAGCCGTCCATTGTGAGGTCTACGGCGGTGGGTGTACCATCTGGGCTCGGACGGAGCTCGTTGATGCGGGCGGTGACCAACCGAGCCAGTGTAGTCTTCCCGGAGCCGGGCACGCCAGAAATCCCAACGACAATTCTTTGCGCTGCATGCTGGGAGTCAAGCGCTGCTAGTGGCACCTGTTAGCGGCTGTTCAGGCCCTTGCTGTCTGACCCGGGGCACAGCAGCAGCACCTACAGAGCAGTTTATTGGAAAGCCGGTCAACCTCCGCCTCGACATTTGGCGCAAGACGCGTGCTGTCTTTCATGTTGGACTTGACGTGAGATTATTTTTGATGCAAGACAATTTCTTAGGTTCTTCGACGTTGCTGCATTAACCAATGGTTCAAACCTATTCACTTGATTCACTTGATGGGTGGTAATTCGGGCTTTATGCTTCACAGCAGGCGGGTGGCGGAGGATGGCGGGATTAGGGCGAGGTATGGCCTAAACTCTGCCACTGACACTTCCACCAGCAAACCACAAACATGGCATCAGGGAGAGTGTCAAGAACGCACAGCTCGCTCGTTTCAACGATGGACTACAGCTATTCAACCTAGATACAAGAAAATACTTTTATTTAATTTCCTGTTGCTCGGCCTATGGTGGTGGCGACTAATACGGCTTCAACCCAGCCAACTTTAACAAAGTATCGTTCACCTCGGGTTTCTCCTGCGGCTGGTCCCTGTTTCGTGGATCAACAGTGCCATCGGGGAGATGGGCCAGCTGAGGCCGAAGCCAAATGTTGTCGTGTGCCCAATGGGTCGTTGCCCCATAGACGTTGAACACGCGTGCTTTCTCTTCAAGGGCTTCTTTGGTAGCAAGTTTGGCGGGAGAGTACGACGCGTAGATGACGGCTCGGATCGTGTTGCTGTTCGCCGTGGGCTCGGCGCCCCAGTGCACCGTCCGCGAGTCCCACAAGATCAGGTCGCCGGGCTCAGCCTTGACCTTGCACGCCTTGAGCCCTTTGCTTTCGAACCACTCTATCTCATCCTCGCTGAAGCGGCGCCAGTCGATTTCGGGCCAGGAGGACCGATCGGTTTGTGTGTCGAAAAACTCGGCGTTGTACGCATTCGAGCCCGGCATCACCATGAGCGAGCCGTCCTCATCGCCCACGGGGCTCAGGTTGATGATGCCCTGGATGCAGTGCAGCCCGCGCTTGAATGGGGACTGGTCAACGTGGGGCCACGGGGCCCGAGGGGGCTTGTCCTTGCGCCCTGGAAGCGTGATGTTGAGCGAGTCGAAGGAGACGAGCAGCTCGTTTGTGTTCCAGACTTTGGAAAAGGCATCCAAAACGCCGGGTTCCGTACGGGCATCCCACATGAACTTTTCGTGAACAACGCAGTAGTTGTCAAAGGTGTTTAGTTTGCTCTGGACCGGCATGTTTTCAGCAAGCCAGGTGCTGGGGTCGTTCAAGTCCAGCGGCAGGCCGAACGAAGTAAGCCACTTCAGTGCCCGTTGTTGGTATTCGACAGCACGTTCGCGGGGGATAGCGCCCTTTACGACTGCATATCCTTTAGTACGCAGGTCATCTCGCCAGTCGCCGTAGGAGGCGTCAAGCCTGGAATTGAAGTCAACATCAACAACGTTTTCCCGCAACAATCAAGTGCCTGGACATGACTCACTGGAGAAGAGGGCTCGCAGTAGTGGTCTGGGTCGCCATGGTTCGTGAGCAGGCGCTGAAGCGAAGAAGCTGGTTGCAGTTGGCAGTTGTTGGATACCTTGGCTTAGCGGGTGCGATGGTGCAGTTGAATCGGCTTGTGGGCTTCCAAGGGCCCGGAACCGAAGCAACGTTTGCTTTTATGCGTTGAACGCTTGCCACTTGGGTGCACAGCGGTCTCCTCAAAGCCATCTTGTTGCAGGCTATGGTCGCAACGCCGCTGTCCAGTGCACTTACAGCCACTGAAATCCAACGGAAATGCCCTGAAATAGGGTTCCCTGCCTCGTGTATTGGCTATCCCACCTGCCACACGATGTCGTCACCCCAGCCCAAGCAATGAGATCCCTAGACCTGGTGATCGTGATCGTAAGTTCCCGGGGATGGCGCCACAGCGGAGGCCAGCATTGGGAGATCCTTCGCATCCGCATGGCTCTACCGTGCTGTAAACAAGGAATTGTCACTGTATGCTCTATCCCGCTCATTCTGGGATCACGGCGGGATGCGGACGAAAAATACCTTGCTCCCGCTACCCGCTCATCCGCTCATCCGCCAGACCCACATCTCTGGTTGGACCGTCCTCCTCACGGACCGATGTACGCGCTAGGAAGACAGTTGAGGCATTGGGTTCGGCTTTACATCTCTTTGCGGGACAGTGAGCGGCCGCCGACTGCATCGAAATGGCGGGAACAGAAGTGTTGTCCGTCGGGCAAATCAGTTTGGCATCTGGGTGCCAGGGCCGACTGAGTACGGTGGGTCAAGAGCTGGTTTCTTAATTACATGTAGAATAGTACCACGTTATTGTATCACTGCGAATAACCTCAACTTGATCTAGGCCAGATATTGCCATTTCGATTAACAGTTTTGAACCAAACCCTTGAAGAAAAAAACCGTACAAATTTGAATTTCCATGATGACTTTGACTACCGAAGACACGAGAATCCCGACCGAGAACCATGCCTGCGTCATGCTGGGTATCGACAAGCTTGGTTTGGAGGGCCGACCTATGCCGCCTCCGCCGGGAGAATACGAGTGAGTGCGAGACAGCTTAGGGAATAGCTTCACAACACATTTGGATACTAAATTTCTTGCTATAGGGTCATAGTTGCACCAAAGAAAACAGGCATTTGGTAAGGACCACTCCAAAGTACGAGGGGAGTGAGCACTAACCATCATGGATCGACCAGTGGCTCGGACATGCACCTGTTTCTTGAAGGTCGCGTATGTTTATTGCAAAGATGAAGCCCAATGGCTATGATCTTTTGCTGACTTCAAAATTTCGTTGACAGGCGGGAGAGTCTATGTTTTGTGACCCGTTGATTCTTGGTCATGAAGCGGCTGGCGTTGTTGCCCAAGGTAAGTGTGACCAAAAGGGGGCATCTTAGTTGCCAATTGGGGGGAATGGGGGGGGATGGCTGACGGCTATTATCAGTGGGATCGAAAGTCACGTCTCTGCAGCTCGGCGATCGAGTAGCACTTGAAGTAAGCTTGACGAGTCGCGGTTCGCACAGCAACACTGACTGACCACGGTGCCAGCCCGGATTCTGCTGCAGGAGATGCGAGTTCTGCAAAGGCGGCGAATGTGAGAATAATGGATCATCTGACGTCCCCCAGTTGTTGTTGGCTAACTGCTTTGAAGATGGGCAATGTGGTGATTTCAAGTTTGCCGCGGCCGACGGTTTCGACGGAACTTTGCAAGGATTTTTCACGATCCCCGCCGATTTGTGAGTTCTTGGCCCAAGCCATTTCTACCTATCACTGACAAACAGCTTAGCTGCTATCGCCTTCCCGAGGTATGTGATGGAACAAACTCAGCAAAGCATGAACTGACGAGGAGGGCGCAAGTCCATGTCATTTGAGGAGGGAGCCCTGGTAAGAATTTATCCCTTGAGCCACCATCTGAACGAATTTGACCATCAGTCAGATCGAACCACTCGCAGTTGCCGTTATGGCAGTCAGCAGCGTGGCGAAGATGAAGCACAACGCCAATGTGGCAGTTTTCGGAGCTGGCCCCGTCGGCCTTTTGTGAGTTTGTCCCTGCTTCATGCCTGTTCCTGCAAACAAAATCTTATATGATCTAGAACCATGGCAGTCGCGAAAGCCCTTGGAGCTAGACGAATCTTGGCCGTGGATGTCAATCAACAGAGACTTGACTTTGCCAAAGACTACTGCGCAACGGATATCCACGCCGCTATCCCCAAGAACTCTGGAGAAGACAACATGTCTTACTCCAAACGACACGTAAGCCATTCAGAAGCCTTAGTGCAACGACTCGTATTCAACTGACTTTGTCTAGGCGCTGGAGATCATGAAGAAATTTGGACTCGGCGAACGTGGGGAGGGTATTGATCTAGTCGTGGAATGCTCAGGCGCCGAAGTTTGTGTCCAGACGGGAATCTGGCTTGCCAAGCGACGTGCCATGTTTGTTCAGGTCGGCGCGGGTCCCGCAAACAACCTCATCCCGATGTCCATCCTTGTGAATAAGGAGATCACAGTCAAGGGAAGTTTGAGAGTGAGTCATACCAAGAAAATCACAGAAAGTACACCAGGCAGACAGAGGCTGACCACTCTTAGTATGGGCCTGGTTGTTACCAGCTGGCTGTTGATCTTGTGAGACAGGGACGGATCAACTTGAAGCCCCTCTTGACACATCGGTGAGATATTCGCGCCCTTTCAAATACTTCCCCAAAGCTAATGTTGATTTTCAAGCTTCCCGTTCAAGGATGCCGCGAAGGCCTTCAAGGCAATGCAAAATGGGAAGGGTGAGGACGGGAAAGTGACAATCAAGGTCATCAGTAAGTGTTCATTCACATGAGGTCCCTCTCTACATCCAGACTGACAGTGGCAAAGTTGATGGGCCTTTGGCGTGAATGGATTCGATGAATCGAATTATGGTCTGTGAGAACTGATGAGTTGCACATTACCCGAGGTGTTGGTAATTTTTACGAAGGCTATCCTCCTAGTACAAAGCAATAAAATGCAGGATAGAGATAAAAGATTCCATACGTGTGCTGTGTTCTCCACGTCAAATATCATTGTGATTGTCGACTGTTTGGAGTAGAGCTGAGTGGAGAATGCGTCTCACCGTGCGTTGAGGAAATCCGCAACCTGCCTGCAAGTCCAACTGGAATACCTTCGATATTGCACGGGCTCCTAATGTCATTTAAATCCGTACATCGAGTTTCTTGGATATTTCATGATGGGAGGCAGAAGTAAACTTAGAACACGGCATCACTTGTCAGGGTGATTCTCCAGGAAATCGAGCAAGACTACGTATCAAAATATCACCCATGTTTAGGCAAAAGAATCATACCACTGCCAGTTGGATTCAAAAGGTGACTACTACTGTCTCTTGGAAGTTTATGCAAACGAAGACCGGCTATCGACTTGATGGCTCCTCTCTTCAATCCATTTCTTTGACCCCCATCAAACAAAACTAGCTGTCGATCTCCTATATCAAAGTCAGGTTTGAAACAGTGTCACACTTGGGTAGGAATCTCACGGTTGGTAAGGCTCCTCAAGAAATTTGATCTCCTCTTCACTCAATTCGATATCAAGTGCAGCCAGAGTCTCTTCGAACCGCTCAATCTTCGAAACGCCCACGATAGGAGCAGCTACAGCGTCCTTATGGAGAACCCAGGCTTCCGAGTGTTAGTATCAACATGTAGGCGGGCCGATGGGCAGGCTGGCTCAAGACGACATACCAAGACCGATCTGAGCCATGTTGCATCCGCGCTTCTCGGCTAGCTGCTCGACCCTTTGATTGACTTCTTTCTCCCACTCTGCACCAAGCAAGCCTTCGTCGTGATAGGCATCGGACGTCTACAAGGGAATTTCAGTGATTAGAATTTACCAGGCCGGAGGCTCATCAAAGGATTAATCTCACCGAGCGGACAGTCTCATACGCGCGAGACAGAGGCCGCGCCAAGTCTGGAAGGTTTTTCTCGTAATTAGCTTATGAACTTTGGGCTATTCTTTTGAGCCTCTGGCAGGAAGATACTACTTACGGCCTCTTGCGAGAGGACTCCACGGGGTCGAGCCGACGCCAAGGTATTTCAGCAATGGCATCATCTCCCGTTCTTCCTCTCGATACAAGAGATTATAGAGATTTTGACAATTCACAAATGGTGTGAGATTGTTATTCAGAGCGTAGTCTAGTGTAAAGGTTGAGTCAAACTCTGGGCGGAAAAAATTGATCATTCAACGACGGTCAACTTACTCTGCATCGCATGGAACTGCCATGCCCAACAGCTACTGATACCGATATAGCGGACGTAGCCTGCTTTGACAACATCATGCAAGGCCGTCATAGTCTCTTCGATCTTCAAAACACAATCAGTATGTGAGATATACAGTCCTGAAAAGGGGCTCTTATACCGGAGTTTCATAGTCAAATCGATGAAGCTGCAATGCGAACATTAGCTGTTGAGCGCTCTTCTTCATTGGAGCAAGCCTACCTGCAGAACGTCGATGTAGTCTGTGTCCAGCCTCTTGAGTGCCAGCTTGACATTGTCAAAGATGTGCTGAAATCAGATGCTGTCAGTCAATTGCATGAGAAGCAAGAAAGGCATCAGGATTGCACTTTTCGGTTGTTTCCAGACGTCATGGTAAGGCCTGCCGGGCCCTGTTTCTTGGAGTCTCCAACCGGGTGGAAAGACTGACAGATAATCCTGTCAGTGAAAGCATCAAAAAGGGAATATACATTTGCAGGGTCTTCCCACCTTGGTCATCACAACGACCGACTCACGCGGAACGGTTTTGAGGAACTTCCCAAGAATCTCCTCGCTGATACCGTTACAGTAGAAATTGGATGTATCAAACGTATTGAAACCCAGGTCCCACGCTCTCTGGTGGAGGTCAGATAAATGTAAGTCTTGGCTTCATTGGCATAAGATGCAGCACACGCATACCTTCAAGTGCTGAAGTGCCTCTTCTTCCTCGATGCGCCACGCGACATCTTCCTTCGTGCCGTAGGTTGCCATGCCGAGGATCAGTCGGGAAACCTGGATCCCACCATCAGCCAATAAGAAAGCATACGACTTATGATACATGTAGATACCTTCAAGCCACTCTTTCCCAAACGGACGTATGGCATTTTCGGGGCCGGCTTCGAGTGTCCGAACTCCGTAGGCACCGTCCTACCTTGGTATCCGCTGTTGATCATGACTGAGAGCAGGAAGAATGCTAATTGATAGGTCCTAGTAGCTCAAACTTGGGCAAAACTTTATTTGGGTGTTAAAAACATGCTCTCTTGTATTTCCACGATCGTGAGTGTGTCTCTTATACCGTGACGACACAATATCGCCTATCCCAAAACTCGCGAGTCTTAACAGCAACACAATTCATTCCCCCGCACTTCTTACTCTGCGAAACTGCAGGTGCATAACACCTCTCCTGGTGATCACTGGTAACCAAACATTGAAGATATAATTCATGCTAGCTGACGTCATCTCGAGCGTCTCAGAGCAGCTGTTGGTTTGCGGAAGAGCGGACTCTCAAATTTCATTCCGTGCGGAAGGGTTTCCGCTTGGCCGCCCTGCGACCTAATGCGGGCTTCCGCATATCACCTTTGAATTCACTACTTCCAGTTTGAGATGTTTGAGGCACCTGATCGTTGATGGAAGCGTCAGCATGCCCAGAGTCTGTCAACGCGCGTAGCAGACATTGACTTGCCAAAGGTGGTCGATCTTTTCCGACTCGGAGTACGAATTTCATTGCGGCTTTTTTACTATTCGTGGCCATGCAGACCACGTTCATGTGATGTCGGAGCGGGTAGGCGGAAACGCGGAGATATGGGATGGCCATGGTGCAACTTTTGGCAAGACATGGATGTTGGTAACGCGATGACATCAAGCAAGGTCGGAAAGCAGTCGGAGACATCGTTAGCTGGAAAATATGTCTATCGATTCTAACACAGTTGATGAGTACGTGTGTTCAGCAATGGCGGTCGTCAACAGACCGGGGTGACTGTTCCGGTCCCTTCGTCCGATGCACCCCAGGTTTTCCCCAGACCCGCGGATTCATTACCCCGGATTCGTGTGTATGTCTGCGTGTGGGGTGGTGTTTTTGGCTTGATATTCCGGCAAACGTATCGACATTCGTTGAAAACGCAGCCAGCATCAGTCGAATTTTAATGTACAAATGATGTTCACCGCCGTGATATACTGAGAGCTTACTTTGTTATTCGAGCTCTAAACCACCGAAATTTGTATCACGACCAGGTTTCGCAACATCTTATTTTTCACTGCTTTTCAAATCGCCTTTTATCAAAATGACTGGCCTGGAGTCCCAAATCCCTAACTATCGGTCCATTCCGAACAACACAAATGCTATCTGGTTCTTTGACCCATGTACGCAGAGCATCCCGTCATTTTCTGCGCTTGTCACATCCTTAGCATGGCTGATTCAGTTTACCAGGTCTCCGTATCAACATGATTCACTGCTTAGGCTGCTGCTTCACTTTATTCTTCAATGGTTGTAAGTCATAGCCCCGCATACCAGACTCCATGGGCGTGTCTGATAGAAATCTTTGACAGATGATGGAAGCTTGTTGAACGGACTTCAAAGCATCGATCGATGGCACAAATATTTCGATAACCCCAGTGCTACTACACTGGGCCTGATGAACTCGGCAGGGTTCCTTCCAGGCATTGTGGCTGGCTTCTGTGGTGACAGACTGGCTCAAACGATCGGCAAGCGTTGGACTCTCTGGATAGGAACTTGTATCGCGGTAAGATCTTGGGCACGTCCGCCAGTTGAGTCGCTTTTGCTGACTCGCATATGCCTCGCTAGATTGTTGGGATCATATTGATGTCTGTGTCTACCACCACTGGCATGTTCTGTGGAGGACGCACTATCCTCGGTTTTGGGACTCCGCTGGCTGTTACAGTGTCTCCTTCGCACCTTCAGGAGATCTCGCACCCCAGATATCGTGCTCAAGTGAGCTCATTCTGTAAGCTTTGTCTTCTCACTCCTATTCTGACTCTACCACTAATTTTGCAATTCTTCTGTTAGTCACATGCACATACTACATTGCTGCTGTACTATCAGCCGGGGTATGTCTGGGCTGCATGAATATTCCTTCGGAAATGTCTTGGCGCATCCCATGCTGGACGCAACTCGTAGGTCCGACATTGACTTTGGCCCTGACTAGCACAATGCCAGAGTCCCCGAGGGTGAGTCAATTGTCCTCAGGTCGATTGCAAAGGGACGATGCTAACCCTGCTCTCAGTGGCTCGTGAAAGAAGGCAGATTGACACAAGCACGCGCGATTCTCGTCAAGTATCATGCGAACGGAAAGGAGAATGACGAGTTGGTTGACTATGAGTTCCGAGAAATCGTGGATGCATTAAAGCTAGAGGACCTTAACAAGCAGACAACGTACCTTGACTTCTTCAGGACCCCAGGAAACCGACATAGACTGATCATTCTGATCGTCGTTGGGGCAAGTTTGAATTGGGTGGGGAACGGAATTTTCGCTTATTTCCTAAATCCGATACTCAACGGAATTGGTGTCACCAATACTCGCTCTCAACTTCTCATCCTCGTCGGCCTCAATATTTGGAATTGTTCGTGCTGCTGATCCCTCTCATGCTCCTACAAAGTCCGGGAGCTAATTTGGAGAAATAGTGATTTGGTCTACCTCTGCTGCCATCAATATCGACAAAATTGGCCGCCGACCTCTTTGGCTCACGGCCACCAGCGGTCAGCTAGTCACCATGGCAGTAACCATGGGATTATCGGCTGCGTACACAGAGTATGGGATTAAAGCCGCAGGAACAGCTGTTATACCCTTCTTTTTCCTCTTTTATGCGTCATACGATATCGCTTACACACCCATGTCATATGGGTAAGCCTGCATGCTAGTACTTCGACATGAACCTCCACTAACGCATGGTTAGTTACCCAACTGAGATCCTGACATATAGCCTTCGAACCAAAGGGCTGGCTATTTACATTGTTGTCGTTGCCATGGCTGTATCTTTGAATACTTGGATCAACCCAATTGCACTCGATGCTTTGGGCTGGAAGTAGTAAGTCGAGTGCCGAGGGAGAACATGTGTCCAGAATCTGATATCATACCTCCCAGCTACGCGGTTTACATAGCCATCAACGCAATCCTGCTCGTCATTCAATATTTCAAATTTCCGGAGACCAAAGACCGTACCATCGAAGAGATAGCAACGATATTTGACGCCCCACAAGCTGCTACGGTCATGTATGCACGGGGTGAGAGTCTGGAAAGGGACGTTCGGAGCGTGAGAGAGGAGCCTGAGGCCAAGAGCATGTAACATTGACGGGCTACACGTAATCGACCAAGCCCTATTTAGCTTCTCTGCTAAATTTGAATCAGTTATATACACTTACGCACTCGTCACTCGGCCTCTATTGGGTACAATTCAGGGGTCATGTTTACTTGAACACCTCCACTTGGAATCTGCGAATGGCAGCGGCCCTCCGCCTTCTTCCTTAGAGGTAGCAAGACATATTCACTACAACCATCGCTTCTTAAGTATACAGCTTGACTTATTATTCCGGAGGCTATGTGGCTGGGATTTCAACCGGATTGTGAGTACAAGTTGGCGGTTTCAGGAGACAACTTCCGATTAGAGTCATGTGAAAGACAGCCAGACAGATAGTGTGTCATTGCAGTGAATGTTAGGGACTTGCTCCTGACCGGACATGAAATTCACCGTGTCAGCCCGGTCCTGTGTGTACCTTATATATGCCACGTCGGTCGACCCCGTAACGAATAGATATGGATGAAGAACAGCAAGCATCACTCGACATTGATAAGTCATTTGTCTTTGACCGCCACCACTTGGGTCTTATCCGACTTTGATCTGACACCCGGATATTCATCATGCAGCTCAACTTCCCGACCCTTGCTTTAGCCGCTGGGCTTGCCAGCAACGTCCAGGCCGCCGCTATCGTTTCACCCCGCAACGATTCCAACCCTACGCTTATGTACAGCCGGGCCGTCGAAGCTGGAAGCCTGCAGTACTGGGGTTCTGCTTCTGAACAGCCTGTCATGTTCGATTGGGAAGCCGCCTGGACAAACCCGGCATCCTGGCCACCGGTCCCTTTGTCGGATGCACCGACAGTCAACCAGCAGTGCGGCAATGATGACGTGTTTTGTTCCGAAGTAAACCTCGCGCCTACGGATCTGTGCGAGAAAATGATCGACATCCTGATCCGCAACCGCGGCGTCGACATCCCCAGCGGCGTGAACGGTCTCTCGCTGACCTCGGGTCGCTGGGTCTGCTATATGGCCTGGAGGAGTTCAGTCGACAACATGCGCCAGGTACGTGGTCTTGAACGTGTTTCCGGTCCCCTCCTATTTGCAGCTTTACTAAATAACATGACTTGCCAAGGGTTATCTCATCAACGCTGCTGAGGCCACTCTGCGCAAATGTGGAGCGAATGGGGCCGTTTCGGGTTGGGCAGAAACCGTGAACCTCAACAACGCTTGCACCAGCCAGTGTCTGTCCAACCGCTTCGACTGTCGATAGATTACTGTGATGCTCGGCTCTCGAGTGGAGGCAAACTTATCTACTGAGATTCACCCGGTGGATCCAAGACAAACAAGGTTCCAAAGTCTCGATCTGCTAATCTGATTCACGGTTGGCCCGCTCAAGAGATTGCAACACACCAATCTTTGGCAGGCAACTTGAAAGACAATTTCCTGGCTCTGAGAGCTGCAACAGAATTAGAGGGAACAGTTGTTGTTTGCGTGATACTTAGCTAGGTAATCAGCAATGCAAACCCAGTACAAAAAGAAAACTTGGTCTATTTTGAAAGGTTCTATGAGTTCCACAGCGAATTTATATTGTCCGTATAAGAACAGAATATAGAAGATAATCAATATTCTCATATTGGTTTCTTAAAAGTGTAGACTAGTCATTGATAAATATTATATTTGTGTTATGTGTAGATATCCAATATCGAGGCTCTGGCCCTCCGATGGGAAAAGAGTAGGCGCAGAGATATCAGGGGTTTGGCCTTCTTGCGCGATCCAAGACAGCACCAAGACTTTCGGTATTCCTCATCTAGGTGGAATAACCTAGGAATAATCTCGGTCGTCGCGGGAGACCTGGTTGGAAGTTAGGACGGGTGATACAAAGTCGTATTCATGTCGACTTTGATAGAATACGATCCAAGATTTTCTTAGTAAGTCGGGATTTCTACTGCGAATCAAAGTAGCAAGCATGCTTTACACTAACAACGTCAAAACATCTAGGTTTTCTTTTTCGATTGACACGTTGCCACGCGTGCTTATTCCAATCGCATGGTTTATGACCGCCACAGCCGAGACATTTCAAACCCTTCTATCAAGGAGCCCAGCTTCCCGTCGATGGCAGACCCTTCAGACTCTAGCCTTCTGCATTCAGCATAAAGTTGGTTCAAAGGTAGTGAAAAACACTCAATGAACTCTCCCTCTTCTAAACGTGGCTTTGGGTTCCGGTTCCCATCCGCCTGCATGTCTATATCAACGTGGACCATGACGGAACAAGAACTGTACAGAGTCAGCATTCTGCCGCTAGGATATTGGCGAGGATATTGGCGCGACTTACTTGGAAAAGCCAGGAGCTTACATACGTATTAGCTTTGAAACTCTTCAGTCTAGATGAGTTCAGGGCGATGACATACCGCCGAAAAGCTTTGGACGGCTTCTATGAGAATCCGGCTTGATAGTGCCGACGTAGCCTGTCTCTTCTGCGAGCTCGCGGATCGCACACTGCTCCACGGTTTCGTTTTCATCGAGTAGGCCAGCGGGAAGCTCGATGCAGATCTTCCCTACAGCTGGACGAAACTGTCGTTGAAGAAGAAGCTCTGGGCCAGCATCTTTCTTTAACACAGCGACTATATGGACCGCGTCGACAGAGCTGCCTGCCGGGCGTGTCTTTCTCTGTACTCCTTCCCAGACACGGTCCTTGCCATCGACATCTTTGTATTTTATCCTAAGGTTAGTTTATTAGACATACTGAAACCTGGTAATTCATCAACGATGTTCATGCTATGAGACTGACTTGACCAATGTCATCCATCTTGCATCTCCGATTTCCTGGAACGGTGAGTCATCAACTCGTTCTTAGAATCGGCGTCATATCTGAACTTACCAAAGGCTCAGATGAAACTACATGTGGAGTCATTTGTGCTGCCATGTTGACCGGCTGCGCTTTCCTGTGTCGGCAATCTTCCGAACGATGCAGAGCTGGTTGGATTAAGGAACTGACTTCCAGGTAGCGTCAGGTCCAAGCTAGAAACATATTTCCAGTGGGGTGGAGGGGCAAGATGAAAATGCGGGGTAACATCATCTTTAGACTTCACTCAGGTAGGATCAATTAGGCGGGAATAGAGGATGGAGAGATAACATTAGGTACCTATTTTCAGTAATGTGACGCAAGATGTAGGGACGCAGAGATTGTATCAATGACTGAGTAAGCCGTTCTTCGAGCAGAAAGGTAACCTACCACATTTGGGTCGGAGGTCATGACCTGGATTGGCGAATTTTCGTGAGACCTTTCCGGCTATGAAGGCTACTATGAGTGAAATCAAGTCACTGCGGGGAGGCGCCGACCGTGACGATCGATGTGAAGTCATTCAGTGACACCTTTGCCTTCGGAATATACATCAGCCCACGTTAAAGTGATGAAGAATTACATCTGTCAGGTGTTGCGCACTGAGAAGCTAAGGTTAGATTTAGGGCCATGTTCGTCATCTTGACTTCAGTTGTCAACCTCGCGCCGGCCCGCTCACCAGTCTCCACACCCTGGTGAGGCCATGGTGAGGCTTCGGTCAGGGTCGATCGGCTGAGTCTGTGCAAGATTGCCCGCCGCTCAAATTCTAGGCAAAACAACTCGCGCAACCACCAGGTATTGGGTCGTGGGAGTATCTCGATGTGCTCCAATGGGGGGAAGATGAGGCGACAATATGATGTAATTTGGTGGCCATCCCACGACACGCCATAGTTCTGCGGGCGATGTTGTGGGGAGCTGAAGTCATCCCTCAGTGGATGCGGCGTCTGTGCCTGGAGATTTATCTCCGGTCTGGGTTGAGGTGAGAGCTCAACATGATGTCATGCGCTGAGAAGGTGTTTTTAAATGGCAACCATAGAACCTCGGCGAGATGGAGAATCGCAAGACAATTTACTCCCGCGATTAAGACACGGAGGAAGGCGAATCATTACACCCTGAACGAATTATCACAACACAAATATACACTGAACACCAATCCATCACTCAAAACCAACCCATCAAAATGTCTGCTCAGTACAACAAGGCCCCAAGTGCTGGCGCCAAGGTGTGTCTTGACAACCCTGGAGTCATGCAAGCCTGCTTTCAACATTTGCCGGGAACCAAAAGCTAACAAGGCCACAGGTTGAGCCCGGCTCCGACGTCCGTCCCACCCGAAGCGAAGCCACTGGCCCCGTCCTCACGGACTCCCTTGCAGCCGAGTCCGCCAGCAAAGGCGGCGAATTCGCCTCCAACGGCGATATCGGCGCAAGCGCCACCACCGGTTCTTTCCGAACCGTCACCAGCTCTACTCCCGTGTCTGGCGCCGCACCGGTCTCCGATCAGGCCGCCGAAGCGCCGACATATGTGAACAACCAATACGTCCGCGATCATAACGGGCCTCATGGAAGGGGCATTACCGAGGGCTTCGACACGGACAACACAAAGAATGGCATGCAGGCTGCATTTAACGCCGAGGTCGGCAGCAAGAATGATCCTGGCCGGGTAGCGGAGCAGGGGCTTCTGCAGAGCCAGACGAAGGCTGGGCGCGATGCTGGGCCTCGACAGACCAAGGTTGGTGGGCAGACTGTGTACGAGAGGTTGAAGAGCGATGTTCAGGCGTAGGATGCATTGGGTGATGGAGCATGTTTGATGACCTCTGTATGAATACTAGCACTAGATTCCCCGAGCGTGGATGATGATGAAGTCAGGTATGAAAGTCATTCTATAAAGGCAGAATCTGTGGCCACTAAATGATTGAGATGTCTATCACTATGCTTGCCAACAGGCTAAGTACAGAAATGACGAACATGAGCGTTTACGTCAAAGGAGGTTGACCGTTGACGATGTCTTGCCATTTGCATAGTGGCTTTTTCTATTTCACACAATTTCGTCAAACTCACCAGAAGCACCAATCTCATCATTCCGAGACAATGCAGTCTTCCGGAACGAGTTGCTTTGCGCTTCAGGGCCATTCTGCGTGTGGTTTTGTTGCTTGTAGCTGTAGGGAGCTTGCCCAGAGCTTCATGGACTCTCATTCGCCCACGATTGGCATATGTAATGGGCGCTTGGTCTAGGGGTATGATTTTCGCTTCGCACTTCCAACAGGAACGCGCCTTTGTGAAAGGTCGTGGGTTCAATTCCCACAGTGTCCAGTTAAGTTTTGAATGATGTACCAATGTTCACCCTGTGCTTTTGCTTCAGCGAGTCACAAAGCAGCTACGTGCCAAATCAATTGTCTTGTCATCATGGCTCCTCAGCTGGGAGTATTTTATGTGAGATGTGTGAGGTGAGTAAGGGAGTGAGTTTAGTATGGTGTGTGTATAAATACCTTGAATGTGAGTGAGATATGAGCTTCAACAGCGGGTGAGAAGCGCATGGAACCGTTTCTTCAAGATTCTCATCGGTTTCTCGTACTAACTATTCAGTAACGGCGTTGGCGTTATGCGGGATACCGAACTTTCACTTTGAATTGAACCGTCAAAATGGAGAATCAATAAACATCTCGAGGGGCCGCAGCCTCTGAGAGACGGATTCGATCGGCCCCCGAAGGCGAGTGGAGCCGCCCAGAATACGGTTGCCTAAATCTGTCGCTGCTAATTAACACGGCATGGTGCCGCGCCGCCCCGGGGAATTTCTGGCTGTTGGAGACTGTCGAGTTTTCCATTGAAACAATGGAAGAAGGGTGCGACACGGGCTGATCCGAGTTTTATCCCAGCTTCGGGCCTTCTCTATATTTGCGTTCTCCCATCCGTCGCCTTTCGATTCTTGGCCGTCTGGAGACCCCGGCAGTGAAAAGGTACCGTCAGAGGCGCAGCCGTTGACGCCCCAACCCTTGTAACGGGACGAGTCGGGACGAGAAGCCAAACCTTAACCGCAAAGAAGCTTGATCTTCTTCCACTTCTTGCCTACTATTATCCAGCGGGGGTGGGATTGCCGATGCGCCGGAACAGCGAAGGAATCGGAGACACAGGAAGTGGAAACGTCAACAGTGGGATCACATCTCTGTGCTTGATTGACGACAACGACATTGGCGACAGCAAGGAAGGGTGGAGGATAGGCGCCTTGAACATCTCCCATATGCTCGCCATACGGTAGACCAAGATGAGTGCGCCCGAGTCGTACCAGCTCGAGTCCCTCGCCTCGGAGGCCGACGGCGTCAAGCCCGCATCACCAACAGCCTCCATCGACCCGGCCAACGTGCGGTGGATGAACCAGGGCGGCCGGAGATGGGAGGTCTGCAAGATCGTGACCCGTCTGATTGGGACGCTCCTTTGCGGCATCATCCTGATCCTCATGATGGCGTGGTACGGATACCCATCGTGGGGTACTTATAATGTCTGGCCTTGGCTGTGTTTGCCAGGAGTAAGTCGTCTCATCCTTTTGCTTTTGTTCTCCGCTTCATACAACAGTTGAGCTCATCATGAGATTGTCATTAGGCTTTGCCGTCATTCATGTGGGATCTGGGCGAGTTCCTCACCATCTGCGCGCGCCACGGACGCGGCATCACGCCAAAGGCGCACATTGGCCTGGAACTCGTCATCTCCATCCTTGCATACATTGGCGGAGGCTGGCTGGCGTATCAGCTCGGCGTGCAGGAAGACAATCAGATAGGACACTGGCCACTCAACCTCGCCCTCACCGAATGCATCTTCATGCTCTTCAGCGCGTGAGTATACGCTGCTCCTTCTTCATGGCACACGATACTGATATCATCCCCAGGACGATCCACCTATCACTCTTCATCCGCGCCTGTGTCGAACGCAGCCGCGAGATCCGCCGGCGTAGACCGCGCGTAATGTACATACCGGAAACAGGACAGACAGTCTACGTCGTCGCCAAACCCTTCCCCAAACTGCCATCATGGAAATCACAAACAGCACGCGCGCAGTCCTTCCCTCGATCACCGCAGAGCCCCGTCAACAGCTCCTTACGGCACCCCTTTCAGCAACTGCAAGAAGAGATGCCACCACTCTTACCCGACCGCCCAGGTGACCCGACGCCCACCTCCGCCACGTTCATCAAGCGCAAACCCCTCCCGGCGGGTCTGCCCGCGCGCACGGTACTGCCAGGCGACCGGAGCCGACAGCTCCGGCTCAACATGCGTCCGCCGCCGGCGGATTACGAGCCTTCTGTGGACGAGCTGGAGAGGATGAGGAGGGGCGACGCGCAGCCTCAGCTTATTCTGCCGGGGGACGTGGACATTAAGTTCGCGACGAGCGTGACGGGGATGACGCCTGCGGATGCGAGCGCGAGGGAGGGGAAGTATAGGGTGAATATGACGCAGATGCCGGTGATACTGGGAGAATCGTCGAGGAACGGCGGTGGAGGCAGAACGCGATCTCTCTAGATCCCTCTACGACATACGAGGGACTTGTATACATTATATGAGTGTGTACCTCACTCGAGACATTGTTATCATTTTCACGGCATCGCGGGACGGCGTTTGGGGATATCGCATGACTGCAAGAACAGTCGCATTTACGATCGAGCATGTCATGATCTCTTTATTCTTCTTATTCAATTTTTCTTCTTCACTCCAAACCCCAGCCTTGCAATCTGACAGCAGATCACCCAGGATGAAATCCCATTCACTCAAGTCCCAAGACCCCGGGCACTTCAACAGGGCGTCGATCAAAAGTCCCAGGGTTTTAGGTGCAGAGCAGGACACAGCTCCAGCTCGCTAGCCGTTAGGGGCTCGTCGAGCCGTGACAGGCCCAACCCAGGCCCTTCGACACGAACGAGTGACCCACTTGGAACCCATAGAACATATCCGTAAGGTAAGCCTGACTGGCCCACGGCCGGGTACCACGGTTGAATGGACTTTGGGGATTGAGCCCCCCCGGCATCCCCCCCGTACCTTGGGTGCCCTCTGATCTTTTCCCAGAGTTCGCCCAACTTTTGGCTCCTTGGTCCTACCTACCTTATGCCCATAGGCTTGCCATCGGCTACCCGAGTTGCTTGTGTCCGCCGTTCAAATCCAGCCCCGGTCCAAAACTCATGCGACATGTCGGCGCTGGTTCCCTTCACTGCCGACCTCGCCGCGTGATCCAAACCGCCGACGGAAAACACCAAGACGAGCGCCACTCGAGAACGAATTCAACTCCCCTTATACATCCGTATGCGATCCTCCCTACGCCTTGGTTTCCCAGCACCAACCGCGGCCTCAATGACTCTTCAATCATAACCACGCGATCCCCCCAAATCGCCCTTGCCGCGGCCTCCGAATAACCCCTCTCACCCTCTGCAAGGGCCAAGGGGGACTGAAGAGAATATCAGCAATGCAGACTCGCGACTCCGACGACACCAGATCAATATGGACAACACGCCGCTCCACCCAGACATCACCACCCTCCCACCCGACACGGGCCAGCGCCACGGCGACTTCCTCACCGCGATCCCCTACAACCGCTCCATGTACCGCACAACGCTCCTCCTCCGCCTCGCCTCGATACTCGACGCCGTCATCATCCTTGGCGCCCTCGCCGCGCAGCACCCCGAGGACTACTACTACCTGGGCAACTGGGCCTTTGGGTGCCCCACTGCGGCCATGGCGTGTCTCTGGAGCCTGGGTGATATAGCCGCGATGCTGGTGCGCGATCGCGGGTTCCGGTGGACGAAGAACGACCCGACGAAGCTGCCACGGAGTACCAAATTCAGCTGGGGCAGTCCTGGCGGGCACGTCTCTGCGCATTTGCTGATTTGGACGCCGACGGTGGTGTTTATGTGCATTATTACGTCGAATTGGTTGCAGTATGAGAACGATTACAATTTTGGACACATGGATCAACGACATACGAATGTTGTGGCCGCGTTGATTTTCTTCATGTTCATCTTGACGTACGTCTACCACCCTTTTGTCCATTGTTCTCGTCAATATCAATCAGCCTCCAAGTGTGACGTTACCGATTATGATTTTTTTGCTTCCCTGGATCAAAGAGTGTGGCTAACAACAGACCTGCAGGATGATCCACTTTGCGCTCTTCATCTTCGCCATTGTCGACGTGGACAACGAGCGACGGCACTACTCGGACGTCGTCTTCATCCCGAGGGGCGAGCTGTGCGAGATGGTGCCCGTGCCGCCGACGACGCCGTGGGAGATATTCTCGCCGCGGAAGCTGCTCCTTTCCTATTTTGCGAACCACTACGTTCGCTTCGTGCCCGGCGCAGACGGGACGGTGACGGTTGCCCGAGACTACAGCAGTCGGCAGGCGAGGTTCTGAAGAGGATCAGACTCGTAAGGGGTACTAGAGTCAACGCAGGGGCTCACTACAACAGGACAACATCCTCCAAGTCAGGGGAAAAGGATTGGGACCTCCCTCAATATCAACTAAGATGTGATAGATGGCCGTCATCGAATATGGCAGATGGAGTTGATAGATGGGACCTCCGATCCCCCGCGGGATCACCGCAAGAAAACCAGCGTCATTTGATTTAACAAGAGCTGGATTGATACCCAGGGATATATGGAGTAAACGTGGCAGTCATTAAGCAATAAATTATGAAAACAACAACAGATTAATAACAGCATTCCTCCCCTCAACGTCTTCAATGCCCTGCTGCCCGGGCCTCTCGTCTCCTTGCCGCCAATCCGGTCAGGCGGATTAGCACGTGATACGTGACGTCAAGCCCCGCGACTCCGTTTGCTGCACAGTGGCGTCAGGCCGGGTCTCTGAGCCTTGAGGTGAGGGTCTCTGAGGGTCTCTGAGGGTCTTGGGCGGGACAATCGAGCTTTTAGCAGTGGGCGATTACGATTAGATAAGAATAGGTGCGAGGGAATACCTTACCTTAGGTGCCCGACGGTGGTCGTCCACCTGAGTGCAGCGTGCAAGATATTCCCATGGGAACCCGATGATAGGCGGCCACGAATTGCCATTTCCTGGCCTTGATGCTACTGCATCTTAGGTAAGGCACTAAGAAGTAAGGTAATGCTAGTTAGGTGAGGTAGTGTCCTGCATGATTAAGTAAGCTGGTAAAAATACCCAGCGCTTGACGTGGATGGTTGACCTCAGTCGGAGTGGAAGTAGAGACGAAAGGGGCGGTCGAGGTACGTACCTCTTACTCGTGCGCGCATCACAGAGGGCATTTGTTGGTGCCTTATCGGCTCGCTACCCTATCGGTTATCAGCTTTTTCAAATTTTTGAGGTCGCTGCTCCACTACCAAGTACCAACTCTGCGAACCTGGCGGCAGCTCGCTGGGTGTGTCCAGTTGCCCCTCCCCACCTGAAATCATCCTTTCTCCAGCCTGCGTGGGTGTGTGTGTTTCGCACCGCCGCTCTTTGTCTCTGTGTTCACCCTGCCACCGGAGGACAACTTTTGAATTTTTTCCTTTCTCCTACACGCCTCATCCATCCTACCCTCTCCTATCACTACCAGTCGACTTCATCGCCGACTTGACGCCTGCGTGACACTTTTCCTGTCGTCGACGCATCAGCAGGAAGCAAAGAGGTCTTCTCAAAGCTCTTTTCCCCTCCCTTTTTTTTTCCTCCGTCTTCTCTTGGGCGACCATAGGTTCCCCGCCATCGCTAAGGAAAAAAAAACAACCCCGCCATCAATCACCACCACCACCACCGTCATCATGGTTTCCTCTTCCAAGGAGAAGAGACTCGCCAAGAAGGCCGCCGAGGGCAAGCTCGACAAGAAGAAGGGCTCTAAGAATGTCAGCACGACTGCCTCTTCGGTGAACGGCGATGAGCCCGCCACTGGCGCAAATGACGCGGAAGAAATCAAGCGCCTCGCCGATCAGATGGACAAGCACGGCATTTCTGACCGTGTCACCACCGGTGTCCTGTCATCTACCCAGGCCAGCAAAGACGTCAAGATTACCAGCGCCTCGCTCGTCTTCCACGGCCGTGTCCTTTTCAACGACACTACCCTCGAGTTGTCCTACGGACGCCGATACGGTCTCCTGGGTGAGAACGGTTGCGGAAAGTCAACCCTTCTCAAGGCCATCGCCGCCCGCGAGTTCCCCATCCCTGAGCATATCGACATCTACCTGTTGAACGAGGGTGCTCCTCCCACCGAGCTCGGTGCCCTTGAGTGGGTCGTTACCGAGGCCGAGCGTGAGATGGAACGCCTCGACAAGTTGGCCGAGAAGATTCTTGAGGACGAGGGCCCCGAGAGCCCTGTCCTTATGGACCTGTACGAGGTATGTCCTGCTGCCCCATCATTGCCTAGGCCTCACCGAACATGATCTAACAGCCTCGTAGCACATGGAGAAGATGGACCCCGCCACCTTCTCTACCCGCGCCTCCCTCATCCTGACGGGTCTGGGTTTCAACAAGGTCACCATCCACAAGAAGACCAAGGACATGTCTGGTGGCTGGAGAATGCGTGTCGCCCTCGCCAAGGCTCTGTTCGTCAAGCCCTCGCTGCTGTTGCTCGACGACCCCACTGCCCATTTGGATCTCGAGGCCTGCGTGTGGCTCGAGGAGTACCTCAAGAAGTGGGACCGTACCTTGGTCCTCGTTTCCCACTCCATGGATTTCCTTAACGGTGTGTGCAACACCATGGTTGACATGCGTGGAAAGCAGCTCCTGTACTACGGTGGTAACTACGACATTTACAACAGAACCCGTACCGAGCAGGAGACGAACCAGATGAAGGCGTACCAGAAGCAGCAGGACGAAATTGTGCACATCAAGAAGTTCATTGCCAGCGCTGGTACCTACGCCAACTTGGTCAGACAGGCCAAGTCCCGTCAGAAGATTCTCGACAAGATGGAGGCCGACGGCTTCATCCAACCCGTCATCCCCGACAAGGTCTTCACTTTCCGTTTCGCCGATGTCGAGAAGCTTCCCCCTCCCGTCCTGTCCTTCGACGACGTCACCTTCTCCTACTCTGGCGACCCCAAGGACGACCTGTACCGCAACATCGACCTCGGTTTCGATATGGACTCCCGTACCGCTCTTGTCGGCCCCAACGGTGTCGGCAAGTCTACCCTGCTGCGCCTGATGACCGGCAAGCTCTCCCCCACCGCCGGTTCCGTCACCCGCCACACCCACTTGAAGCTTGGCCTGTACTCCCAGCACAGCGCTGAGCAGCTCGACCTGACCAAGTCCGCCCTGGACTTCGTCCGCGAGAAGTACTCAGAGAAGTCCCAGGACTACCAGTACTGGCGCCAGCAGCTTGGCCGCTACGGTCTGACTGGTGAGGCCCAGACCTCCCTCATCGGCACCCTGTCCGACGGACAAAAGTCCCGTATCGTCTTTGCCCTTCTCGCCATTGAGTCTCCCAACATGCTGTTGCTCGACGAGCCTACCAACGGTCTGGATATTCCCACCATCGACTCTTTGGCCGATGCCATCAACGCCTTCAGCGGTGGTGTTATTGTCGTGTCCCACGACTTCAGGTAAGGACTTCCCAGTCTCTGGCGAATTCGAATGATTTGATGCTAATATTCATGCAGACTTTTGGACAAGATTGCCAAGCAGATTCTCGTGTGCGAGGACAGGACGATCAAGCCCTGGGGCGACTCGATTGGAGCGTACAAGAACTACCTGCGCAAGAAGATGGTGTCCGCCGGCGCTGTCTAAAGCAGTGGCGGTGGCGAGACATGATTGGTTTCAGATGCATCTTCCCTCTTCAGCGTATGGTTCCTTTCCACGGGAGGAAGAGTAGAACCAAAAAGTGTTTGTTCATGACCTTTATGAAAAAGAAAGTGCCGCCATGACCTTCACGACCAGGCCGGATGGGCTGCTGCGGAAAGGGAAAGAACAATACCCCTCCTCCCTCCCTCAAGGCAGAGCGGAAGCCCGTGGGAAAAGAGATTGAAGCGGCATGGGACGGCATCGAGGGAGCAATTTTTAGCATCCATCAGGGGCGGCTGCTGGCACGGTATGGGATAGATAGATATCTGCAGCTGCGACTTTTTTTTTTTCTCTCCTTGTTTTCCATCGTCTTTGTGTAGATGACGAGGACAATAGAGGCCATGAGCCAAATGATTTGAGCAACCTTTTGTGCCCATGCGATTGTGAGAAGACTGCCGACGATTTGCAGACTACCAACACCTTGACTGGAGAGCAGGCGGAGGTGACAATGCACGTGATCTAGAGCCGGGCACGGGCGGGCTGAACGGGTGGAATGGGGATTCTGGGACAGGGGGGAGCCAATCAGAGCAGGGGTCTGGGGAATGGCGGGACAAGCGGAGACGGGGGATGTCGGTGTTGGGTATGGAGTTTGAGAGATTCGGTTTCTGTCGTTGATGGTGTTGCCAAAACGGAGTTTAGCATTGGTTAGATGCCTTTCAGTGAGGGACTGAACTGGGGTTGGGTAGTTGGGTAAACTTAGTCTATATGAATGTACCTTAAGATGAGATGGCTCTGTTGTGTCATCAGCCTTTTGCCTGCCGGAGAGGCGGAAAGACTTGCATGCGTGATGAATCAGGGTGAAGTTTGCAGGTTACATCACCGAGGGGGGAGGCACGAAGAGATCTGTCAGGATGCATTGGATGTCCCCATGACCCAGGCCCCCGACTTATCTTGAACGGGCTGCTGTCTATTTTGGTACTGCCAGGTATTTCAGGCACAGGTTGGGCATATCTGACGTCGCTGGAGTTGTTTCTCTTTTTTTTTTCTGTCTAATTTTCGTTCCTTTTTTTTAGAAGAGGGGGGGGGAAGATTCATATTGGTGGGTGGATTGATTCATATGAAGGAGAGATATATTAGTATGGCATGGGACAGGGAAAGGAGACGAGGAAAAGGGTGGGGGAGAATCGTTTGACCTTGCTTCCGAGGCCGTTGGGAAAGTAAGCAGGCTCGATTTGTTTTCGATTGGGGGGCTGACGCTACAGCAGGTTTCGGAGGGGGAAAGCTTGAGTGTCCGGATACACGAAGACACAATGCAAACCCGAGGGGAAACCCACTCCTCGATCCATCAAGCCATAGTCAATCGCCCACCCGTTCCAGACCATCCGGCAATATGTCAAAAATTACATACGTTCAAATGAGGGAGATGCGGTCGGAGAATTGTGGACGGAGTATTTCGTCTTTGCTAAGAATTACGGTGTCATTCGGACACGAGACAATTTTAGGGACATGGTTGATGTTTTGTCAGCTGTATAAAATAGTCTGTTTTTCGGGTCCTGATTGCCGAGGTGGTGGTGGTGGTTTTGGGTCATGTGGGCGGATTGAGGCCATTCCCAAGCCCATTTTGTATGGGAGGACAATCTTTCTTGGAGATGTAGCAGCAAGTACCAAAGGTGCCGCATCTTTCGATTTCTGTCCCGAACCCAGTTTGAGAAGCTTTCATTTTTTTTCCTTTCTTTCTTACTCTGCACCGATTGCAGAATTTAGGTGGTCCTTCAGGGTGCACCTCGTGCATTCTCGCAGGCCGTGTTTTACGGTCGATTCTGGCGTCTGAAAACGAAGGGGACGACGGCGTTGGGTGGTGGCCCCGAGCAGCCGAAGCGTGGAACGGGGAAGGCGGCTGAAATGCCTCACTGACAGCAGGCGTAGACTTTTGTATCTCATGTGTATCTCAGGCGCTGAGATACGGTGAGAATACATGGGGATACAAGTCCGTCTGGACTGAAGTGGGGGACTGGGCGGCCGGGGGCAAGGAAGGCACTAAGCAACCCAAGAGGCTCAGACGTGGCCCGGGATTGGCGGGAGCATCTGCGCTAGCCCCGACTAAGCAGCCCGGTGGTAAGGTACCTGGACCGCGGCCTGCACCCTTTGGCTTGCCGCGTGTGGTTGGTGCTGTGCAGATGCTTGCTGCTGCTTGCTGCTTGCCCGCCTTCCCACCTTGCACCTCCCCGTCCGTCCTTCACGACTCACGAGTGACGACCCCCCCAAATTGACGAAATCGGGGGATCCTCACGGGAGAAGAAACTGACAGGTCACGCCTTCCCTGGAATCTGGGAGAGGATACGGAGGAGGCCACACGACCGTACGACGCACTACGCACTCACTACCTCATGCACTTGCCGCCTATTATCCCTATCTCATCGCAATTGCCATTTATTCATGTCACTTAGCAGTACCTGTTGATAGATTCATGGGAACTTTTCCAGGTCAAAAGGTCCCTTGGTGTTGATGGAAGAGCAGGGTAGAAAATATACATGCGCATCGCATCGCATCGCATCTCACACCTCCCCCAGTGATCGCTGCTTCGCTCGACGGACTTGAACCACGACGGCGGTCACTGGAGACAAGCCTGGAAAGCCTGGACTGAGACGGGGGACGGGGACGGGCAAGACGGGGAACTCGAATGCATCGGCATCGCCCTCACCCACCCCCCATCCAATCCATCACACACTCTCAAGTCGCTCACCCGTTCTCTTGGCTCGATCGCCCACTCATGCATTCACTCACTCACTCACTCACTCACTCTCTCCATCACAGACACTCAGTCCGCCCACACTCCGATTCGCAAGACGCACTCACAATTTCCTTGCCTCTTTCCCGTCCCTGGTTCTCTGCATCGTCTCGACTGTGCCCGCCCTCTCTTTTCTCCCCTCCCCTCCCCCATCAACATTGACGATTACACCACCCATCCCACAGTTCTCGCCTCACCTTCATCATCACCACCACCACGGTACAATCCTGACCAAGGGGTCTGAAAGCATCCTTGCCACCAGCACCACGACGCCCTCATCGCACTTACGCACATACACACACGTACTCCGGTGCCCAGCAGAGTCATACCAGCATAGCAGCGCACCACCGATCCAGCTCCAGATTCAGCTCCAGCTCCAGCCCAGCTAGCTTCATTCCAAGACACACCCGGCGATACCGCTCAGCCAAGGGCCCAACAAGGCACAAGGCAATCGCAACACGGACATCCTCCCCAAGCATCTCCACCCACGCAATTCAACCCTGGCTGCGCGCCCATCCATCGCATCGCAGTCTGCAGAGCCGAAGCTCTCGGCCATTACCACCCGTCCTGGCCTCGCCTGACCTGACCTCCTCTCGCTCTTCTTACTCTCCTCTCGTGTCAGAGGGACAAGTCATCCACCCCGTCCTCATTCACGGCCACCGACCCTAGCTCCGACATTCGCACTCCATACCACCAAAACTCTCGATCCGACGCGCAAATCCATCATCGCCACCCACTCCTCCACCGATTCTCAAGTTCCTTGGTCGGCCGCTCATTTCACCTTGCCGCCCCAGCACCGCGAATAGCATCACTGGCTCCCGCCATCTCCATTTTCGCCATTCCTCGTTGAACTCCATACGGTATACCACGGTGCCACCAATTCTTTGACCACACCCCACCCCCTTGCACCTCCCCACGACGCCAACTCTCGACTCCACGTCTTTTTTCGCGATCCGCCTCACTTGCTTCACTCCTGTCGAAAACCCCCAACGCGTAACCCAATCACCTCGTCTTGATTGTCCACCACGCATTCTGGTCTGCACATGGGTCCGCGATCCTCGCTGTAGTAATCAATCCCCTCTTCCCCTTCCTCTTCTCTTTCCCTTCCCTTCTCCTTTCTTCCCTCCTCCTCCCCCCCTCCCCCACTGCATCGTCCTCCTCCGAGCCGTCCACGCACAAGTGGCATAGGGTCCTGCGACAACGCCGCCATCGCCACATCCCGTCACGATGGACCGCCCTAAAGACTTCCGCTCGACGGTCCTGCAGGCGCCCTCCCGTCACGACGACCGCGACGACGACCGCGACCGCCGCCGCCATCGCGACATCATGAATCCGACGCCCGGCAGCGCGCGCCATTCGGGCTTCAGCTTGCGATCGCCCACCCAGTCCGAGTACCACCACCCCCAGCACTCGTCCTACTCGTCACCCAAGGCGGCGTCATCATCATCCCATACGCTCCCACATCACTCACCGCGATCCCACCAGTCCGGCCTGTCGCATCCGAATCCCTACTCTTCGTCGTCGGCATCCGGCGGTCCGCTTGCGCCTTCGTTGCCCGCGCTCGGCGGTGCCAGCAGCAGCTCGGGAGCTGGACATCACCAAGCTCCGCCGTTGTCGCCGTTGCACCCCCCGAGCGGATACTACCCGCCCCCCGAATCGCATCAGACGCGCGAGAAGCCTGCGACGAGCAGCTACTACGATCCGTTGACTGACACTACGAGAGAGAGAAGGGTGTCTGACGCAGGTTGGACCAATACCGCGGCCAATGGTTCGCCCAAGGTAAGAGAAAATCCAATAATTTTGTCACTGATGATTCTACCGCCATGGTGGCATCGCATTGATTTATATGCGATGCGACGCGGCTCGGTCACTCTCGTGTTTGCTATTGCCTGTTTTCTTGAGTCTGTAATATCCTATCCATCGTCACCTCCCGAGACGCTCCGTCATGTCACCATTTCAAGCTCCCCTGCTCCTCGTCGTGTACCGTAGCCACACAGCAGCAGCAACAGCCGCACCAGAGATAGCAGCAGGAGTAATCAAGGAGGTCTGTTTGGCCCTGCTCGATTGCTGTCTGTGCTCTAGATCGTTTAGTGGCCACTGGTGATGGTGTTGGAGGTTGTGCTTACTTTACGCCTTCTTTGTACCCTTTGCTCCCTTCCCCCATCCGGATTTTCGGAGACGATGGTGTGAAGAGGACGCAGCGAAGCATAGAGAGGTC